CCCCAAGTTGCCCTTGCTGCTTCGGCGATGAATATGTATGAATGGGATTAGTTACTTCTGATAGTCACTTTACAAAGCAGTGTGTGAATCGGTGTGATGTGACCCGCGGTGTAAAAGCGCTTTGAGTCGTCAGATGACTAGAAAAAACGCTATTCAAGCTCAAGTCCATTTACCATTTACAAAATCCAGAGATTCCATTCAGCGGTTATGAATATAGTTTTTCAGAGGGATTAGTTTTGGAAGCAGAAATGACATAAAGGTTGATAAATGCAACTACGAGCTTGCCAAAAAGATTGCCTTTACTCCTGTTAATAAATTCAAAGCGTTGAATGAACAGTTAACCTTTGAATAGAGCCACACCAGCTGACTCCACCTGTAATCAGTCTTTGGGCAAAGATAGGAAAACCAGCATCAATAAGCTCTCAGCCAGATAATAAGTAACCAAAAAGAAACTCTTATTATTATTAACTCTTATATTAAGGCAGATATCAGTCTGTTTTGACTTTGTCAGTAGATTAGGATTAACTTAACGAGAATGTATACTATTCTCTGTGAATAAGATCAGAAATATGATGTTCTGTAAAGGATGAGCTAATCAGCTGTCGATGATCACGGTCTCATACATAATAATTATGTCCGTGTGCGTATGCAGATATTTGTGTGGCGGTGTTGTGATCTCTAAAGTCTCCTGTCCTTTCAAAAAGCTCTTGACACCGGCTGGGTTCGATTTCAGATGTTTCCTCCATTTCCAGCACATTCTTAACAGCAGACACAAGCTGAAGCTGTGTGTGTGCGTGTGTGTGTGTGTGTGTTTAAGTGTCCTTTAGAAGATAGACTGTACCGATCCTGTCATATTACAGGGACAGATGAGCTGCGGTGATAGAGCGAGCGAGCTGCGTGCACGTGATGGATCATTGCAGCAGGGCGAGCAGATGCAGATTTTCACCGTGACATTTCTTTTTCTCTGCGGGCGTCTCCATGAAGTGAGGTCGAGCTCCTGCGGCTCTCAGCTTCAACACTATAACAGACTCTCACAACCTTCATGTTTGTAAATCCTCTCTCTGTAGATTCCTTTTACTAATAGATCACTGCTTTGTTTGTATGTTGAGTTAAGAGGAGTCAACGAGGCAGGGCGTCTTCTGTGAAAAGCACTTGACCTCTAATGTTGATGCAGTGAAGACATGTGGAAATATAACACCTCCTCAACCATTTCAGACATTTTTATATAACATTGGGATCGTTTTTTATTGAAACATGCAGTACTCCTGTTTTCTTCTACTGATTTGTAAATGAGCCACAAAAACACTTTCCTTATAAATAGGTGTCTGATAATGTCATGAATACATTAAAGAGATCCCAATACTGGAGTGTGAATGCAATGCAATGCAAAAAGGATCAAACAAATTAGAGCAAAGTATTTTCCAAGGTTACTTTGGCTACTCGGAAATATCCAAAACCAACAACTCAGAGAAGAAATCTCAGATGTGCAGCTGGATTGTAGCAACAGGTTTTCAAATGCAGGCATGTTGCCCATGTCCCTTCTGTTTTTTTCTGTGCTAAATAAGTAAAACATCAGTCCTCAAATGTCAGGGGACTTGACATTTTTATAGCCTGAACCAGTGAGGCTTCATCAGAAAATATAAACTGTGAGAGGACTTGAGAAATAATGGTGAGAGAAGAACAACGAGGCATGTTGAAAGGCGTGAAGTGTGAGAAAATCCTCCAGACAGCCACAGCTGAGAAAATAGTATTTAATTATTTATTACAGTACTAAAGAAACAACCGGCTCCATCTTTACTCATGTAATGTTGCCTTTAGTTCTATACATTTTCAATTACAGCTTTAAATGATCTGATCTCTTGACTGTGGACACACATTCTTTCTTTTAACCATTGTTTTCCAACTCTATCAAAGCAGATTAACCACCCAACTCTGACCAAAATCTTATGTTTTATCTGCCATAACTAGACTAGTTCCCCAACCTTGGCTATATTTTGTTTTCTTGTATCCATTTTTTTCTCGGCCTTACCCCTCCATCCTGTGCTGCAATTGGCTCTTACTGCAGTACTTTGATTGGCAAGCAAAGTCAATAGTTACATGTATAGCACAGGACTTCAAAACAGGAGACTGCTGTTCTTGTACCGTGTGAAAACCAACCTTCTGTATTGCCTTTATATTTCAACCTAACCATGATGGTTTCCAAAACCTTACCATTATACATGGCGAACTGTGTGGAGCAGTTGTAGTTTGTGAGGTATAGGTACCAGCATTACTTAGTTCAGTTCATGAAGTATCTCAGATTTGGATACTGTAAATCATTAAGTCATTTGTGAGACAGTACAATGGTGATTTCCTGCTTTCATCAGTGAAACTGAGTATTTCTCTAGAATGACAGAGCTCATTGGTTTTGGCAAACCTTGAGGCAATGAGCATCAGCCAATCATAGCACAGTACTATAAGCCAATGACTGCCCATCAGGAAAAGATTTGGTAGAGATCATAAAGAAATGGTGGGGATGGTGCATGTCACTTACTCATATTAGAAAAAAAGCAGAGCTATAAGCCCGCTAAGGAACAGATTGACTCAAGAGGTGGACCTCTTGTTTTACCAGAGGATCCAATGCTGAACTGCCCTAAACTGCATTTTGTCTAATGGTCAGCAGGGGGTGGTTTCAATGATAGAAGAAATGCAACAGGAGTTTAACGTGACCCCACTTGTCATTGTTTTTATGATAATGTTGTGCTCTCTATTGCCTGTTTCAACTTCTCTTCAGTACATCATCTTTTTTATTTAGTGAATTATGATCTCGTTCAGAGTAAAATTTACCATAAGGAGTGGTATTCTTCCGGGTGTGTATACCTGTGATGGACAAGTAGATACCATGATGACCTGTCAATCAAAACATAACTGGGTATATCAATCCTGTGGTCCAAATATGGTCAATTCTGGTTCTAGAAACAAAGATATTGATGGGCAAAAATCTAAAGTTGAGGCTTTCAAAAGGAAGGTTAACAAACCAATTAAAACCCACTTCTTATAAACAACAACAATGGTGTAAGAATGAAAAGCTGAACTCACCCCTGTGGTTGTTGCAGAGCTGGTGTGTTTGGATTGAACATTTTGGCAGCAGGGCTCCTGATAGGTGTGCGCATGTGACGTCGGGGTCGGGTGGTTCAGGGTTATCTGTGGTATTTATGTCACCAGCAGACGGGGGCTCGGTCTGGTTGAGATAGACGTTAACTCGGAGGAACGCAGTCAGGCTCGCGGCCAAACGCTGTCAGCTTAATACCAGCGAGCAGCCCAGGAGGAGCAGCCACAGCATCTGGATAGTCAAGCTCCATTAGCCTCCAGGCTGTGTTTTACACCGGCTGCATTACAGTCCTGTTGACAAATGGCATAGAAGGTGGTGTGCGTGCTATGAATCACATAACTCAGGGGACCTCCACCATGAATAACATACCCCTGGTCTCCCTGATCTTTCCCACCCTGCGTCCCTTCTGGGCTGTTGTCTGGGCTCGTAGCACCAGTCTGGCTGGGATTCAGTGGGACAGCATTAGTTCTCAACCTTGGTGAAGGACTAAAAAAAGCAGCCTGAGCCTGGTGTCCTTGCTGTCACACTGCTGCAGGGAGAAGATAAGCACTGAAGCCTTGAGGAGATACTATGAGGCCCCTATCCCATTGGCCCCTGCAGCAAAGCCAGCAGGACACTCAGAGAGCACTCATTTTGGGTGACTCTCTGATTCTTTACCTTTTTCAGAATCTGATTTAAGAGCTTGGCAGTTATTTAACTCTTTTTTTTTTTTTTTTTTTTTACTGCTGTGCCACCCTGAAAGTCCAACGTCACAGCAATAACCTTTAAAAATGCCGTGTAATGATGCAGATCTAGAAAGAGGAAGGGGGGTGTTGACATATTCAGAGTCTTTTTTTTTTTTTTTCCCCTCTTCTCCTGTGACCCATCAGAGAAATCCTGCAGGTTTTAAAGACCAATCTGCGATATTGCGTCCCGTATATGTTGCACCTGGACATTTTCACTGCTGCAGAGAAAACATTTACCTCAAGAATCGGCCCTCGGAGGTGAAATCTAAAGTCTGCCAGCGACTCTGTGATGAATTCCCGCCTTTAAAAGCCTTCTGCCGGCTCTTTGGCTCGTCCTTGTGCGGCCTGTAAATTGCATGGAGTGATATATTAAGGAGACAGGTATGTGCGAGAGAATTAGGGTTTATTTACTGGGTTGAGTTGCAAAAGTAAAACCATGCAGTGCTATATTTCTCTCCAGCACAGCGCAGCATTGAATGATGAAACACATGGGAAGAGAGAGAGAGAGAGAGAGAGAGGTTGTGGTAGGTATTGATGTGTAATGCCCTTGGACCGAAGCCAAGACAGTGAAATGAAATGAAAGGAAAGCAGTCACTCCCCCTGTTAACTCAAGGTTGTGCTTAACAGGAGCTATATCTGTCTGCCTTGTCAATGGTACGCTGAGTAAATGTACTCTGCGTGTCTATGAAAAAACCTTTAGATCACATCCCCCTGTTGACTTTCAAGATTCCCAACAAATTTTCTTGTATATTTCCAATCCTGATGCTACATGTCAAAGCTCTGCAAAACTTCTAAGCAGGCAGGAAGCTGGCTTTTTATTTTTTTTAAAAAAATTTTACAGTTTTTTTCTTGTAAGCACAGCCGCAAAATGAGCCTTTTCCTTTTTTAGAGATCAGGACCCCTGCCAGCTCATAGAAGTGGCAGCGGATCATCCTCGGCTAATAGGCGCTCATAATCTTCTGTGAATGTCTTATGTCGTCCCCGGAGAGGAGCGAGACTAAGGCGTGTATTTGCAATCAGCGTGCATTAAGGGCTGACAGTTTAACTGCTGCCATGACTGTAATAAAACAAACCCCTGTTTGCATACTGAATGAAAACTGCAAAGTGTTTTTATAAATCTCTTACAATGCCTCTGTCTTTCTCTCTCTCTCTCTCTCCCTCACTGCTGCTTGTCCCCACTACAGGAAGTTGAGGTAAGTTGAACAATAAACTGACTTTCATTTGACATCTTCTTTATGTTGTAAGTGTCACCTGCTTTATGAGTAAAAGTCCATTTTAGAATAAACACCGGTCATTCCACCTCGTTGCCTATACATTTCTTTATGACTAAGGTGAAATTCATTGATTTATTCATGCTTTTTTTTTTATCTTGAGGATTGAGCGCACCTTTTAAATGACATCTAGAGTGCATTTACAAGAAATTAAACTCATACACAAAAAAATTAAGCAACAAGAAACCGAATGTGCAGCGAAAAGCAGAGCACAGTCAAGAACATTTACATTTTATGTGTAGAGTAGTTTGTAACCATGGTTTAAAATGGACCTGCAGGGATGATTGTGTTGAGTTCTAATGTGTTGTGGGATATTCTAAGTGCACAGCGTAAAAAAAAAGTATTAGGTTTTTCTCCTAAATGTAGTGGGGACTTGGAGCATTAGCTAATCTTGAATGCGCCGACTAATGACTGTTTAATGAGGAAGTGATAGTGTGCAGAGCTGATATGTCCTTTGCAACATAAAAACCAATGACATTTGAAACAAAATTAAACAGATGAATAACGACAAATCTACGTGTACAGCAATATAGTATTTACTGCTTCCCAGAAAATAAGCGGAATTAGCCTTAATAATAATAGATGGTTTCAGGATTTGAACTATATCATTCTTTTTACACTGCTAGCGATCAATTCACTCCAGTAAAACAAGTATAAGCACAAAAATACCCCCTTAACTCTTCGCCCTCTGCACAATATTTAAGATGCCTTTGGCTCTTCTTGTTCAGCCTGACTTGAGAGCTCCGTCTTCGCGCACCCTGGAGCAGAATAAGACGAACAGACCTGATCCTCAGGGTCCTCTCTGGGCCCCGTGCCCAGTAGTAACCACTTTATAGTTGATCCTCTCCGTCCTGAAACACACACACACACAGAGAAATGGGTCAGAATGGATATACAGCAGAGGGACACTGAATTTTATCATCGTTCCAGCGCAATGCCGCAAGGGACACAATCTAAGAAATGGAGTTAGTTTGCAAATATTCCCTCTGCAGCAGTGCAGGAGTGAGTTAGTCCAAGTCTTTTATGATTCTTTTAAGTTCTCAGAGTCTTTCCATTTCCCTCATACTTGCATACTTAATGCTAAAAGCTAGTTCTATAACCACAATAACTGAAAGCAACATTTTGGATGGGGATTTATGTAGAACTTTTCAAAACAAAAAAGGTTTAAAAGTCTGATGAGAAGGCAAGTTCTTGTAAACATGTTAACACTTTCTTACTTTCATTTCATTTCACAGTGTGTACTTCATGTTGACAACAGCGTTTGATAGAATATTGTCAATTCAGGGTCTTTTTAGTGGCTGTCCTTGACTTGTACTGCTTTACATGATTCTAAAGTAGCATTCGGCTATTAAAGATTGGCAAAAATATAGAAAGCAAACTATTTAGAAAATCATAATGTCTGTAATAAATATTTTTAAAAACTTCCTAAGCTACGTAAAGCTGTGTGATTTATTTTCATGAAATTCCTAGAAGTTGTTAAAAATGGTTTGTAAACTAAAGAGGCATAAGATTGTAATTATGCTGTATGGAAAAAATTCAGGAATAGTTTGACAGTTTGATAAAGACTGTTGCCACTCTTAAGCTAATTTGATAATTATTCAGCTGTAAACTCAGTTTGGCTCAATATAATCCCTGAAAACCTGCGAGAAAGAGGCATCGGACGCATAGTGGTTAGTGATCATGTACCGTGTACATAGCTGTGTTACTCCATGCTGGAAGCCTGGGTTTGAGTCCTACTGTCCCCATGGCTCCTTTCCTGCATGTAATTCCCCACTCTCTCCCTGACTCCAACTCTTTCCACTGTTCTGTTCCTACAATAAAGGCAGAAAAAGGCCCAAAATAAATCTTAAGAAAGACAAAAAAAACGGATGAAAATAGTTTTGGGCCTGCAGCTGTGTAATGGCTCCAAAGGGCCTATTCAGACTACCGATTCAAGGCACAATGTTTACGTCCCTGTAACGTTCCGCCTTCACTTTGAATGTCACAGAGGCTTTATGTGGGGGATGAAGTGTTCCCCCCTCTGTGCTGGCATCACACTCTGAAAGGGCTATAGTCTGCATAGCACAAAAAGCCAATTCATTAACACCTCATATATCTTTCTTATGTATATGTATAACAGATAATTTGTCATTATACAGAGCTAGGCTTTCAGGCTTTATGCTAAAGTAAGATTTTCAGGGTTCAGTTGGAATTGTGTCACTCTTTTCATTTAAAAATCGACCAAAACCTGTTATCGCCGAACTTGATGATTCACAGTTTTCAAGTTTCCACTTGACATTGAAAGTATTTTACAAGAAAACAAGTTTTTCATAAAAAAATGTAGTGCATGGGAAAAGATAGGGAAACCTTGGATGCCACAAAGCTTTTAAAGAGGATCTTGCAAATGTCTTACAAAAGTCTTTTCCAGAGTTTCTTGTAAGAGCACACTGAGTCTGTCTGATCTCCTCAGAGAGTTCACACTGAGTGTACAGGCCTCTGGGGGTAAAGTCACCTCCAGGAGTAATCCTATAGTGGGGAACAAGAAGAAGGAACATTTATGATGATTTCAAGCTGATCCCTGGCTCAGGTGAGGACATCAGGGCTGAAATCAACTCTGCATTTATGTTAGTACACTTAAAGGCAAAGGTCTAGCCTTTAATGATCAGACAGAAAACAAGTATATAGCATGATCTCATCTGCAAATCGTTGTAAAAGAAGTAAATGCACATTTTACACTTTTTAAAAACTGAAAAAAGTGCTACATTTTTGTTTGAATTAGAAAGTGCACACAACAAAAGATCTATTAAGTATTGTTCAAAACTTACATTTGAAACAGAGATGAAATCAATTCATTTATCCGAATATTTAGTTCCATTAAACAAAAACAGAAACAAACAATATATCTGGGAAAAGTTAACCAATATATTCATCCAATGTTTTTTCAATCGTTGAAGATTTTGGAAAGTAAACTAGAGGGTCATCTGCAAAAAGGCAAACTACTGTATAAAGGAGAGATATTAGCAACAAATGACTTGTGCAAGAAGCACGGCTGACTATATTTTAATCATAAAAACCATACTTCACATTTACATTGTCATTGGTTGTGTGTAATTAATTTTCTGTATTATAATGCACCTCTGTTAACTTCTTCCATTACTTTGCTCTTCTGCAACAGTATTCTTCTTCCATTGCTTTACCCAACATGAATTATTTAATCCAAGAACACAATAATCTTTTGTCTCCAGGATGACTACATCAAGAACACAGAGGAGAACATGGGCTCTGATGAAAGTAAGTCAGAAAAACAAAGATTTTGTGTGTGTTTAAAAGGTTTTTCTGAGGACAAATGACGAAGGCTTTGCGGTTTTGTTTGAAGTTAAGTGTATTTTCCACTTACAGCCTTGAGTGTTTCCTATTGTATTTTATGTAAAGACAGTTTGCGCAGGCTTTCAATATGTAAATGGTTTTACTTAAATGGCATGTTTCTAATGCATAGACAAAAAATGCTGTATTTTACATTCAAACAGCATAATCAACGATAAGTGCTGTCTGTCTTTATATATCGGCTCTACACAGTAAAATAGTAGAACTCATTTATTGGAGTGCCAGCTTCTCTTAATTGCAGCAGTTGTCTGAGGTCATCCAGTGTGTGTTGAGCACTGGTCGGTGGTTTCACAGCTTATAGAGGCTGAGAATGCTGTTGTGATTCAGGGAAAGGAGAGGCTGAGCCTTCAGTCGGATCCATTAGCTTGAAAAGCCGCCTATAATTGCCTTTGTTGCTGAGGGCTCAGCTCAGAACTCCCACCAGGCGCCACTCACCTCCAGAGGGTCCGTTTCCTGTTTGAAAAAAAGTGTCACTTTTAGAAAGCTGTGGAGGATGAATAAAGAATATGTGTCAACGTTCAACAGCATGTTTTTTTTTTTTAGAAAAGCATTCCTGTTGTATCGAGCAGAAATGATAAAAGATTGAAGAAAGCACCACATTTGGTCAGTTTAAATGGTCAGTTTAAATGGTCAGTTAACAAAAGCCATATATCATTTTCAGCAGAGCATTTCAAAAATTTCAAAGCAAGTTTTTCCCAATTATCTTGCTGGCTTCTCTGAAATCCACTTTTTTGTATTACATTCATTAGAAAATATATTACAAACAGAAATTGCAGAAGTCCAAAACATGACCTGGGTATCCTCTAGGCAAAAAATATTATTCCAAACCTATCTTATATATGTCTCTCCATAATTCTTTAATGTTTAAACAACCAAAGACCAAATAAGCCATACAAACTATATAAGTCAAATTTGACAATGATGTTTTCTTAGCCTGTTTCTTCAGCACCGATGGGACCAAAAATTTAGTTGTTGAATGTGCAAGATTTAAAATAACCAAAAATGACAGAGGTTCATTTAGGACCTGTTTTTTTTATAAAACAACGTGTGAATACAACAATACAGACACAAGTGTTCAATAATATTAAACAGATATAGCCCAGTAATAGTCTAGAAAAAATGAAGACAAACCATTGTTTACAGATTTAGTTGTACCATTTTAAGTTGTGTCTTAAAGAAACCAGCAGGGGAGTTTTGCAGACCAAAATTCTGGAGGGGCACAATTAGAGCAGGAAGCATGAGGTTTAATTGAAGATAAAGGGAAAAAAATGTATTTTTAAATTATTTTCATGTAAAATTAACGTTTTAAGGACAACAATCCAAGGATAAGACTATCCACAACATATATTAATTAAAAGAAGACAGATGATTAAGCCGCCTATGAAAGAAACCGGTATGTAACCTACACTAATATGTGTTAACTATTCAGTTGTTAAGTAATTGTTGGAGTTGTTAAATACAGTGAATATGTTAACATGAATCAAACTAGATTGCACATTTGTCTGGTTGACAGGGATAGGGCTCTTTGGGTGAGCAGTGTGTACTTGCTGATGCAGGGTCAGAGGTCAGGCATGCTACCACAGCCACATTGCTTTACTTAAAAGACACTAGTCGTGTATCAAAGGAGTAAGATGTTGGAGAAGCAGCTCAAGACATCATTCCAGTCCTCTGTTCTCCCAGCAGTGGGAATAACTAATGTATTCTGAAGAAAACGCCTCGCTTGCTGTAGTGTGGGCGATGTTCATTTGAATACCATTGATTCCATCCCCGTCCCAACTCCCATTGGGACTAATTCTGCAGACCTAATTGATCCAGGTCCTCTTCGTTGCAAATTCAACGAGACAGAAAAATCTCAGACGAGGTGTAGGACTACCTGCAAGCCCCGGATTGAAAACGACCTAAAAGTAGACTTCAGACACCTGCTGTGCTTGAATTGATAGAGACATCAGCTCAGCTCTGCAGAGGCTGCCTGTTTTTTTTAAAGGTACCATTTCAAAAAGATACCGCTCTGACTTCTCCGAATTGCTGCCATGTTTGACCTTGACATCCTTTGTGTAAGCAAAATCATAAAGCGTATTTTGTGCAGGGAGAACATAAAATGAAGATAGTTGTGCTTCAGTTTGAACAACTTCAGAATATAATTCAGACATGATCTTTCAAAAACTGTTATTAGTGTCCAATTAGCATGTTGAATCCTTTATGATTTCAAGTAAATAATGTTACTGCTTCATTAGAGTCGAATAAAAGCTATGGGCTGCTCGAACACTGCAACCACCAATTAAATCTGACGGTATAAAAAGTCTTCTAGGTTGACAGTAATTGCAAATCCAGTTGAAACTAATTTACTCAGAGCTGTCAAATGGGTCTGACTTGCTCATGCTTTTAATATTTATCGGGGCTAAATCTTTTCGGTGTCAGACAGCTGGTACAATTTCTCTGCAGCCCAATAACGGCTCTTTTGCGGATTATCTTTTCTTTCTGTCCAGAGCCACTTATAGGTAAAAGCTTGTCTGACAATTTGAATGTAGAACAAATGGTTGATGAAGGCCTTGATGGAGGATTCTGTCTTATCTCCAAGTCTTTGTCCTCATTGATGTGATGTGAACACAGACAGCAGGGAGAAAGCTCACCATTGACCACATAGCCTACACACAGTGGTAATTTTCCTCTGCATCAAGCTCAGGTTGGAAGTATTCTGACATATTGTTACAACAGCAACTGAAAAGAGAGTTACCTATAAAAAACTTCGACAAATTGGATTATATTCAAAACAACATAGCTCACAACAAAGCTAACATTAGCCTTCTATCTGATAGTGTTGCATCATAAGATAGGAAACATACATAATAGAGTCCTTGCTATTTTTAATGTTTACTCGCTAACGCTATTGTGCTAGCTAAGGTAATAAGGAAGGGTTTGAATACTGACATTAGCTAATGGGTTATCAGATATGTAGCCTACTTTTTACACATGTTGCTTTTCATGACATGATATATCTTAAATCCCATAGTAGTAAGGAATCTAACAATTGTAATAATTTGACCTATTCCTCCATCAACATACTGTCTCTAATCATTTAGAGCGGCATATAGGTAACAACTAATGCTAGCATTCCAAGCTATCATAACAGTTAGAAAGGTGTTGCTATTGTATTTTGTAACATTACTTAGCGTTTTTTTGTTAACATTTAACAACTTCCTACATTAGCTACGTCAAGGTTAAAACTAAATATTTGATAACCCATTAGCTAGGCTACTTTCACAACATTTAGCTTATATCCTGTTAGCTATTGTTGCTGAAAGCTAACTACCGTTCCATAGGAAAGGTGAAGTACTTGCTAACTAAATTTGCGAGCTAACAGAAATGTTCTAACTTTTAGTAGCCTAAATAGTTGATTGATTTTTTTTGTTCATTGTCTTTAGGGATTAATTAACCTGGACGCATTACACGATGATGACGATCAGACTTTGCAAATATAGCCTATCTTTTGAGTCCAGACATATGAGGATAATCCATAGCGCTTTGCAAACTGTGTGTGACGTCAGAGGATAATGACTGTGAATATGGTGAGCTGAGGAGAAGGCATCCATGTTCTGTGTTTTTCCCCCCAGCATTATGATAAAAAAAAATAATCTAGGAGAGAGTGGACACGCGCTCAGTGCAGCCCACCTTTGTTGACAAGATTTCAGGTGGATTTAAAGCCCTGCCGATCCAACGTGCAGGATATAATCAAAAACCAGAAGAGCAGGCGAGGTGGAAAGCACACTTAATCTTCAATGCAAATTACAGCTTGTGTTTGGTTTTCAAATTCAGTATGTAGGAGTCTTATAAGAATACTGCATGAGAGCCGTCTATGATTTTAAGCGCTTGCCTGGAGGCAGACTTGAAGGTGCTCATAAATACTGAACATATGAGAAGACGGCGCATTTGAAATTATACTAAAAGTACCAGGCTTAGTTTCTATGGGAACATACAATAAAGCAATATTGTGCACTTTTTTATCATTACAAAGGAAATATCAGCCAGTGAAAGGTTAAGATGAAAACGGATTATTTGCAGTGAGTATGAGTTGTGAGTCATAAAATTAGATTCTTAGTTTCCTGGATACCTCAGTTTAAGACTGCTAAATTTAGAGATGCTATAACCTATATGAATATATGAATATAAATATTAATAATGAGGAACTAATCTACTGACCTGTGTGTAATATATATATAAAACAGGGTGTTACAATTGACCAAGTGAGAACAATGATTACAGCTTCTCTTAGCTCTGCAGCCTTTAACAATTTTTAGTTTGTTTTGGTTTTACCAGAAGCAACCGTTACAATTTTGTGTCATCAGGAAACCTTTTGGAAAAAAGGGTGAGCATTACCTGCTCAGCACTGAACTGCAGACAGTTAGAGTTAAAAGCTTGTTGGTGGACATAGTGGACGATTTAGAGGCTTAAAAGCTCCAATGCTTCTCACCTCAGTTGGAGGAGACCAATGAAAAGTCATTTTAGCCTCTAAATTCACAGGTGGAGCTGGAGCAATTTAAAAATGTGACTGTGGTTCTGACTCATGGTAAACACAATTCATACAAAGTGAAAATATTCTCAGAAAGGATTAATTTCTAAAAATTATGTCTTCCTTGAGCTATTGAGGATTTTTATGAATTATATGTACATTCATCTTAATTGAAAGCTGTCTTATTCCTGGATGCATTCATTAGGTCTCACTATGGTAACAATCCAGATTCAGATCCATATTTTTGATTATTGAACTGATACATAAAGAGGATTGTGGAGCTCTGGTACCTGTGTGTGCTCTGTGAGTTGGTTCTTCATAAATTAAGTCTTTTCAGTGAGATGTGTGGTGCACAGACAGACTCTGCTTTCTGTGGGAGTGGACAGCAGGTACAGCGGCTGCTCAGTGGCCTAAAGATAATAAAATGGCACAAAAGAGAGAGGGAATAAGGTAAAACAAAAAGAACCCATAAAAGTTGGTTCCCTGCCACCATAAAGGTTTATGGTCCATGACTGTTAACAAAATGAAATGCTAAACCTTACATGACAGTCCCTGTAAGATGAACCAGGAGAACGCCTGTGGAAAGCCTGAGTGATGACTTTAACTAAAGAGAAATGATGTGATCTATTGAGGCGTACATAAACTATGAGACATCATTACTCTCTAGAGTATAAAAAGTCACAATAGTGTGTATGGCGACAGTTTGAGGTGAATTGTTTGTGTCCTAAATCTAAAGAGAAACGGCAGACAAATGTACCAGCAGCAGTACAGCCTGAGTATAACTCTCCCGCTGGGGTTAAATTATGACTGAGCAGATATCCAGATAAAGAGAATAAAAGTCAAGCTGTGACAAAATATGGTTTAAGAGCGACTTAAAAGTTTTATTCAGGAATCAATTTTTCTGTGAAGCTCTTTGCTGAGCTCAAATGCTTCTTCTTGTTTTTGTCTTGAGTTCATTCCCAAACCAGAAGTAGATTTTACTTGAATGGATTTTCAATTCAATTACGTTAATAGGAGAATGACACTCATTGATATGAATTCAGTGTCTCTTTAATATTTACTAGTCATTGCTTTTGATATGGGTCAGTTACTTTGGGAGCTTCTTTTAATGGTCTACTTTGGAGTAAGCGATCGTTTGTGTCGCTCTGTGGTTGAAGCTATTTTACAAACAGCACATGGTTTCTTTGAACCATTTGTCTGTGAAGATAAGCGGTGGGATTTTCTGCATATATTATAACAGCACTTACTGGTAAAGTTTAACCAACTTAAAATAATCGATATTCCCGTCACTACCGTCGGCTGCAATCTCTCCAGGCTGGACTAACAACCATGCTGGCTCCTTTGCACTCGCCGACAGAATCAAAATAATAAGCTCTGAACCAGGGTTGGGCAATTAATCAATTTTCAATTTCAATTACAAGTTAGTCTTCCCATGATCATGAAAAAGATAATTGAGATTAAACAATTACTGTGCTGCATGCTGTGTTGCGCTCGTTTTGTCCAAAGGCTTTGTCACGCATGGTAAATGTTTCAAAGAAGTTTGTTGTTACAATTTTGACCACAAGAGAACATCATGACTACCTTAAAATCATAGTTAATTCATTATTCATTTATACTGTGTATATTATTATTTTCAAGCCAGTCTCAAGTGGACAATAGAGGAACTGCAGTTTTTGTTTTCCACCTTGGTATTTTTCAACATTGGAGGTTGCCACTTGGCTCTGACAACATGTCTTTTCAGCACCCTGTGCAGCAGTGCTGAAGCATGGTTTCTATGTGGTACCATGTCACATCAAAGTATGCTGGAGTGGATCACAAGCTAGCTGGAAAGTTGAGCAGAACTCCCGTCTTTTTATGAACTCCAGTCCCCTGCTCAAACTCATACCTGCTCTTACAGAACAAAACCGCGCCACTCGCACTGAGTCTCTTGCAGGTATTTTCGGATTCCCTCTGAGTTGTCATGTCATCCACTAATTCCATACAAGTCCACTGTTCCCTCACACCTCTCAGCTGTAAGCATCGGAGTATCACCTCGTCTTGGGCTTTGCAGGGATGTGGTTGGCAGCAGCTTCGTCTGTTGACCGTGTTGACTACAAAGCAGCTGCTCAAAGCTGACTCAGGATTTCACAGCTTAAATTTCTCTGGGCTACCGCCGCTTGTCACTCACTCTTAGATTTATCAAAGCTGAGTTTTTTTCCGAGGCCTCTCCGGCAGGGTGGTAAATGAACTTGGACTGTGTGACATCAAGTTTCTGATGGCATTGACCAAAGGCACGAAGAAGGTGGAGGACGCGGTTCTATTTCCATCTCAATCCATCAGTAGGAAAGAGGGTGGCATTGAACATTTCAACCCTCCAAAGACAGAGAGGGAAGAGAGGAGGGGGAGGAAGAGAGCGAGGAGGACAGAAAGTGGGGGGGAGGGAAAACCAGGGAGACAAAGATAGAGTGCATGTCTATGTGTGAGAAAGAAAAGGCACGGCAGGGAGAGACAGGGATAAGTTGACACGAGGGAAGTGAGATGTGACAAACCGAGAGAAAGAGATGCTCAATCAGTGCTGTCAGGTTTTCTCGCAATCACAGACAGCCAGTGGAGACTGCAGGTTGTACTACTGACGACGAGCTGCCTCGCTAATGACAGCAAGGCGTCCATGTTTTCAGCTATAAAATCAATGGGCTCATTTGTGCACTACAATTTTCAATACACATTTAATGATATTTATTGCACACAATTGTGTAGAAGATAGTTTCATGAGGATGGGCGATGATATTTAATGGTGTTAATGTACAGAACTTGCACAAAAGCACATAAAAATGCTGCTTTTTTGCCACATCCTATCAAAAGCTGGTACGAGTGCTTGTGAAAGGACGTGTTAAAAAAACAGCCGTGAGCTCTGTATTTTTCTCCTGCAGGTGACAAAAAAAATAGAGAATTACAGCAAAACACCTTAGGTTGGACTGACACTTTGGTTTCTTAGTGTTTTTCTTTTGTTTTTGCAGCCGTGGACACCACCAAGGACCCTTGCCAGAACGTGAAGTGCAGCCGCCACAAGGTGTGCGTTGCTCAGGGCTACCAGAGGGCCATGTGTGTCAATCGCAAGAAACTGGAGCAGAGGTAGGCGGGGTGTTTTGCCCTAAAGCAAGAGGGAGAATTGTATTTGTTGTTGTTTGTTTGCAGGACATGTTGCCACTCTTCAGGTGATTTTCATGTGTACAGGACAGACGTTTCTGTGCTATTCATGTCAACAACCTACTGTAGAAGTGTGTCAGTTAAAGGTTTTCAGTGTCTGCTTGGAGAGGTATTGACTGAACTCAACAGTGGCAGAGAGTGTCAGGAGTCCAAAGTGATGTCAGCTGGAACAGTCATGCTAAGCAGTGACTAGTCATTATGGGAATGGAAAATGACTAAATTGAACACATACAATTGACCCTTTGTTGGCTCTCTGATTGCTGACCACCAATCAGAGAGCTCCCTCACATAGCAACCGTTGCTAAGTTACTTCCGGTTAGACAATCTTTCGCCTGGGCCGAGTCTTTTCAGTGCATCACTAAAAAATTGTGATCTTAATTTTGTTACTAAACATGCAGCTAAAGGATTTGCTTGGTGAGTCACTTGACTGCTGTCTGCAGAGCTCTGATTTTACCAAACTAAAATGAATACCACTTAATTCACAGCACTGAAATGTTTAGCTGAGGTTAAATATTTTGACCTTAAAGCCAATTTGTATAACCAGATATTTCACTTTACTTAATTTTTTTTGATCTAAATCGTGTGTAATATTTTAATATTGGCAGTAAATACAGGCTGGTTAATTTTTTTAGTTTGAATTCATAAACCATACAACAAACCCGAAATGTTTTTGTTTATGTTAGACCAGTTTCTTTAAAAGTTTAGCTTAATTTCATTATACACCAAGTTGGACCTCATACCGTAAATTATTTTTAAAGTAAATTGTTTTGGGGTTGTAAATCAGAGGTATTTAAATTCGAACATGAATTATTAAGCATTCATTATTTTATGAAATCGGGCATTATAATGGACAAATTGAATTTGGTTGCCTCGCTTCCAAAAAGCAATCACTAGACTTCTTTGAGTCCAAAGAGATACAAGCTTAATGGGTAAATGTCAAGGGTACAAACCTTATGATTTATTAATTCATAACTAATACCTGGATCATCATGATTTAATCTAATGCATGATGTATCATGAACTCCTGTGACTCAGTTTTGATTAATAATGAAGCCACAATTACTTGGTTTAATTACTTCAAACTACATGGATCAGTAGTTAGTGAGCTCATACATTTATGCACTTAACTCTGATTTAAACTAACATCATCAACAAAGATGAAAGTGGACCAAGGCTCCTCAGCTCAGTGCGTTTGAGAAAAATAGCCCATAGAGTTTGAGGGGCTTTGATCAGCTTCTTCTGATATTCTGTGTTTCTGTTTACCCCCAAACCTTGTCTTAGGTCTTTGTTTATGCATTGGTGTAGTGTGTTTACAAAGTGACCAGAACTGAAAGCAGAGTTGATCAAATCCTTTGCTCATGTGTTATACCGTAAATATGATTGGCTGAGGGGTAAAAAAAAAAATCCATATCTGCTTTGTAGGCCAAATATAGGATTTTTGGACAGCTTGGATATCTCCCACATGACCAAAAAAAACTGCAAAGCTGTCAACAGTGTGGTGCCAAATTGGCTGCCATAGTCGAAGTAAATAAAACCTCAAATATATAACACAAACATAGTGATGCCATTTTTTTTTTTAAAAGCAGCACAATATCCCACCCAATTAATTTGCACCCAGTTTTAACATGATAAAGAACGGTTTTATTAAGTAACATAGAATTTACATTGTGATTGCTTATTTCTATACAATATTATATTGTTATTTCTTGACAATAAATCAAGCTGTTTATAAAGGGGTGAGGAATCAAGAAATACAAATGGATTGACTCCCATCAGCGACACGCTGAGTTTATGCCATTGGTTTTGTTTCCCAGCCTGCTACTTTGATGTTTTCACTGTGAGTGAACCTCACAGTGCTCTCACAGTGTCTTTTCAAAAACAGGGGGGGTTAAGTTGTCTTAATTGAATTCACTGAATGCTACCTGCTCAGCACCAAACAGCAGGCAGACAGCAAATACATAGCAGAACACTTAGCAACTGAAGGACCAAGAGACCAAAAATAGAACGTAAAGAGAGTGAATATGGGCCTCAAGATGCCCAGAAACATGACTGCTAAAGTATGCTTATGTTGCTACGTGCCTGCTGGATGTATGAATATTAAACAACAGTTTGCTAACAACCTCGTCATATCTACTTAAAAGGTGATAATTTGCTGGGTTTACAGTTTGTTTTCACTGTCCCCAAGTGGCAAAACATTTTTCATCACGTTTAGCTAATATGGACTGGATTTCCATTAATTTGGTATGAAAGAGACCTAGCTGTGGTGGAACCATCTTTGAACGATATTACATAAACAGAATGATTATCCTTAGCTATAGTGATTTTTATTTTGGGCCCCCCTAAGCATTATATTATGTGAATGCAGTTGAAATGTTTCTTTCCCAGTTCTGAACCACCACACAAACACACACACACACACACACACACACACACACACACACACACTGTAACACTTCTGCGTTAAGTCTCATGATGTGTGAATCAGGAAGCAGAACAAATGAGGTAAAAAAAAAGAAGGTATTTCTGTGGTCAGATTTAAAGTCAAAGTCAGGGTTACCATAGTGAGGTTGAAGAACAAAAGGCTGTGATGAACAAAAAGTATTGATTGGAAACAGACAGCAAGTCTTAAGAACAGGTAAAGACGAGCACAACTGGAAGAAGACAAGAAAATGAAGGCAATGTAGGTAGTCTGACAAAGACTGAGTCAGTGCAGAGCAGTGTGTGATTTGACTTTGCGTCACAAACACTCAGAGACACATGGCACGCAGAGACACAGCACTATTTTCGCCCCGCTGTCTCTGAAGCTTTCCCCCTCTGTTTCTACCTCCGATGCCAGCTCCGCAGCGGAACATCTTTGCCCCACTATTTCACCTCTGTGACATTCACATTGATGGTGGGACTCAACAGAGGCGTAACGGTCCTGCCTTAATGCAAAATAGTAAAATGGTCATGGACTTGAGTTTGTATAGCGCTTTTCTAGTCTTCTACTCAAATCACTTTTGTAAGGTGCATGTCTTTAGCTTATAAGCTAATATTCAGTACACTCATCAGTGGCCATTTTTCCTCTGACGTCATGCTGTATGGAGGAAAGCTCCATTTTTGTATTTCAATTGGAAGTTATCACACGACTACTTGATTGATTAGCAACTACAAAAAGCTTCTGATAGTGTTAATCCAGAGGGACACTGGGCAACACTTTAACTTAAAACAACATTATGATAGCTCTTAAGGTAGGCTATGTACAGCTAAGTCACATCAGCATAGCATTCAAACAATTCCACGCTAACTCTACTGTTAGCTAGCTAGCATAACTGTTAGCTATCGTATCCTGCAACACTTTCAAATGGTTATTTTAGCTCGAAAGTGGATGAGTGTTGTTATTTATTTATTTATTATTTGTTATATTTGACCTTGACCTTCATACAACCCTTGATTTGTTAACTAATAAATGTAGAAGCTTTTAAAAAGTTACAAAGAGTTCATGTTGAAATGACCTCAAACTGAATAAGCATTTTGATAAAAGGTGAGTTTTAGAAAAACAACACATAAAGACTTATGAGTTGAAGTTTTACACATTAGGCTTTTAAACCGTGTTATATAATTCTTGTTATATACTTTGGTTTGAAGGGTTTCAAATGTGTGTCCTTCACAAAGACCCTTTTTATTCCTCTGATGAATCCAACTGAAACGTATTTATCAGCTCCCTTTGCCCATTCATTCTGCCCTGACTGAAAAACAAATGAGCAAGGTTGCAGTCTGAAAAGAATTAATGGAGTGAATTATTACTACCTGCAAAGTCTATCTGCTGCGACAGGCATTTATCTTTCTCTCTTAAGTGCTTCATTTACGGAGTCACTCCAGAGATGAGAGAGACTGTGTCGAATAATGGGGTAATAAGCACGAACACAGGCACGCTAAACCATCCCGGCGTCATTAAGAAGATACCCGAGAAGTCGTGCTGCTTGTGCTCACTGAACATGCAGTCAGTCACCGATTGAGCGGAAAGCAGGTTAGATGGATTTTAAGAAATTCATCCAAGTAATAAGTCAATGGAGACTTTTTTTTCCTTTTTTTAATCCAGGATCTTTGAGTTCAGCCCATTGATCAATTTACGTGATCTTACTCTTGACAGAAACACAAAAAAAAAAAAAAAGTTTCTCTCTCCATTACTTTTTGCTTTATTAAGACCTTTATGTGTCAGGATGTAGTCTGAAAAGGTGAGCATAACCTGCTGAAGGAGAAGAGCAGTTCCTCTGCTGTTCTATCATCTTTAGAGGATAAATTCAACCGCTGTAGAAGACTGATCTGTTATTCTTCAAGCCAAAATACCTCTCTGTCAACAAGTTTCTCGGAAACGACTTTCTACAAAAGAAACAGTCTGAATCTAAAAAGCTGTTGACAGAGTGAATCAAGGTTACTTTTTCTACAAAGACTGTGAATTTTTAGCTTCACTGGCAGCATGAATCCTGGGGAGGTGACGGTCGTCAGTCATTCCATCACTTTGAGCTAATAGCTCAACAACATTTGGAGTAATTGCAAAAAACATTTTGAACAAACATTCAAGATCCTCTGTGTATAAAGCACCCTGACAATGATCCCTACATTTACTCTCGTGCAACTGTGAGAATTATATTTTGGAATTTTCTAATGAAATGTCTGGGAATCTTTAAGTTTGTGCTGCAAAAATCATTATTGTTCGATAAAATTATTCATTTAAAAGAAAAATCTCTGGATTTTATTCCAGCATCATCTTAAAGTCAAAATCTTACCTTTTCTGATATTTTGGTTGATACCCATAAATACTCCCATCAGCATGAGCTTACTTTATGCTGCTAATTGGCCAATATTATCACACTACATTTAGATGTGTAATTTGTTAAACAGGTCGTGTTAAGCAGGTTTAAGCCTCCAGAAAAGACTACCACTTCTTAACATTAAATTCCTGGTGGTAGCCTTGTCACTGTGAACTTGTTGGCATGCTGATGTTAGCATTTAGCTTCAACATTTACAGCCTTGTGGAGCTGCTGTCGTGTGTCAATTTGTATTTCCTTGTATTTTGTTGTTTGTAATTTTCAGAACTGCAAGCAAAATACACAACAGTGATCTTATCTTAGAGACATTATGTCTGTATAATTATTTAAAATGATTTTTTCTTACTTTTTCTCTTTCATGTTCAGAGTAAAACAACCCTTGCTGTCGGAGGCCCATGAAAGCAGCTGCAAGCCTTGTCCTGTTGTTGCCTCCACCCCCGTATGTGGCTCTGATGGACACAACTACGCCTCCAAGGTAAAGAAAATATTCCCCTCCAGCACACCTGTTTGAAAGCATTCACTTCTATATCAGATCATTCTTCTTTTTTTGCTTTATTACTGAAGCCTGTCGCCATAAAATCCCTTTGAATAGAAATGGAAAGTAGCCGTGTCATCGCTTTAAATAATGAGAGGAGCCCAGTCAAGTGCTGTTTCCTGCTGGGCTGACATATACGTGGGCGCAGCGGGGCAGCACAGTTCATCACTGCTCGCGGGAGGACAAGTGCATCAGCTCAACGCGTCCGCATGATTAATGACCGACGCCGTTTTGAGTGGCATCACCGAACACTGGCCGCTGCCAGGACTCTTTATTGATTTATGTATGGTTTTTAATTTTGACCTTGCATGAGAAGGCAACGGAAAATGACGACTCATTCTCGGTGCCTTTCTCTAAGTGCAGTGTCTCATCTGAATGAGCAATCTCTCTTTTCCTGCGGTCACCCCCATCAATATTTTAACTGCATCCCTCTCTCTCTTTCTCTCTCTTTTCTCTCTCTCTCTCTCTACAGTGTAAAATGGAGCAGCAAGCTTGCCTCACAGGCAAAGACCTGAGCATCATGTGCACTGGCTTTTGCCCCTGCGCCACAACCCCTGTTTCCACAGACTCAAAGCGTGGCAAGTACCATTACTTTACCTGCTTTTATGAAAACATCTCAATTAAGTGATTTACGCCTTCCTTTCTCCACTATGCCAACACTTTCATGACTTAGAGTTTCAAGAAAAGAAAGTTCTGATGCATACTGTCGGCAGGAATAGCTTCCTATTTGCCCACAAAACCAATCAACCCAATGCTCAAGGTTTTGGATCAATACTCAGCAATGTCCGAGATTACTGTTATCCAAACATCCCCCATGTGGGTCAACTGCTCTTTCAATCATGTAGTAATTAATTATTTAGAGTGTACACTATCTATCATTGCAGCCAAACAGTATTGATTGTGCAGGCTCTTGGGTATGTGGAAATGCCAATTGATCAAAAGGATGAAATTCTGCTCCTGTTTTTCTTCTGTAAGTGCTTAGCCTGCGACTGAAAGTGGATTTATATTGGATGACAGGAATTTTCTGCTGAAGAGATTATTGCAGAATCTTTTCTTTGAAAGGATCATAGAGTTGTAAATATGGCAGCATGAAAATTCCACCTCTAGAGCTGTACATCGAGGGAAACGTTTCATTCTGCGCACTATGCTTCTGTAAGAGCCGTATGAAGCAGCGCCGCTTTGTTGGAAGGTGAGTCAGATTGCTGTTAAGTGTCTGCCAGGGTTTTGAGTACATGGTTTCCTCTTCTTTTTTTTTGCTCCCTTAGAGAGCTGCACAGGCCAGGACCTGGCAGACCTGGGCGACCGCCTCAGAGACTGGTTCCAACTCCTTCATGGAAACGCCAAGCAGAATAACTCTGGCAAGCTGAGAGCTGGCACTGCTTCAGGTTAGAAAACTCACAAAGCAGCTTTATTCTCTCGAAACCTACAACTCAATAGTCTATGCAAAGAAATGTGGTATAAACACAAAGAAACTAAAGTGCTATGCTAATTGTTTCTGACAGCGTTGGACAGGAGCCTTGTGGCAAGCTGCAAGGACTCCATTGGCTGGATGTTCTCAAGGCTGGACACAAACAGCGACCTGTATCTGGACCAAGCTGAGCTGGCTGCTATCAACCTGGACAAGTACGAGGTTTGCATCCGACCCTTCTTCAACTCTTGCGACAGCTACAAGGACGGGAAGGTCTCCACGGCGGAGTGGTGCCTCTGCTTCTGGAGGGAAAGTAAGTAAAGGAAACTCCACTGAAGAATCATGAAGGCTCAGTCTATTTTAGGTCTTATCTCTGAATGAATGAATTAATAGCAAGGTTACGTCACAGGGGAGCAGAGGGTTTGCTTTGGTTTCACCTTATTTAACCCAACCTACCATTGAGCAGAAAAAATAGCATGATAGAGCTGCTATGAACAGTTCCAAAGAACAAGTATTTAACAAACTGATTAACTGGGTGTTTATGACTAATTTGTTTTGATTTTATGAGGAATAAGAGTTACTCATGATAAGGCATGTGGTAGAGTGTAGCTGTTTGTCAGGGGGCTGAAGATCCGCCTCAGATCCAGCTTTTTTACCTGGTTTTCGGTTGAAGCGAAAGTTACTTAGGTTGAGAAATTTCCAATGTGGTAACCCTCATCAGCAGGGTTCAAAAGCGCCCTTCAGTAACCAATGGGTGAAATCACTGAGACATATGCCATATTTAGATCAGTCTACGCTAAAAACTGGTTGTGATTAGTTTAGCTTAGCGAAGCTAGGTCTAACTCCTCCTAAAACATGAACTTTTATTTCTAGAGTTCCGATCCTTTACAAATCAAACAGAGTAGATACATTTGTTCTTTTAGTAGTGACCTTTAAACAAATGTTATGATGGAGCTAGGCTAGCTGTCATCTCCTGTTTCTGTCTATATTCTCAGCTAATTGCCTCCTGGTTCTGTCTTCAGATTCATTACAGAGATATGAAAGTGGTATCAATCTTTCTATCAAAGTCCCTGCAAGAAAATGTTCAATCATGTTTTCCAGAAATGTCAGACTATTCCTCCTGGTCTGAAAGCCTGCAGGCGGTTATGTTACAGCAGTATTTGCCAGACTAATCAAAAACTTTAAAGCACATTCTGGTTGTCTGTTGCCTCTCTTCTCTTCAACCTTTTGGCAGTTTGCACTCATGCTTGAATTCTCTCTACATGCGTCTATATTCCACCAACTGTCCAGGTCTGATGATATTCTGAGACGTGATCAGCCGCTCAGCCCCCCTGCTGAGAACAATCTCGGCGAGGCGTCTTTGATCTGACTCATCTGTCAGATTGCCAGAATCGCTTTCTGGCAAATCGAGAAGTCCTTCTTCGCAGCTTCTCTGAACTCTGCCCACCACCGAGTTTTGTCTCTCCAATTTACTACAGAAAAGAAGACTTCACCTAAATTTAACGTTCCCCTGAAAATACTTCTTCAGCTAGACAGATTCTTTTGTTACTAGTTTAAATCAGTGATTTCTTTGGATGTGGCCACAACAGGCACCAATGACTTTCAGATCACAACATTGAGGAGTCACCTCAGAAATATTTCAACAGTGTTTTAATGTCCTTCCCAAAGATGCTGGTGAAAAATTAAGAACAAAGTTTACCCTCACCCGCTTGCTTTGATTCGCCTCTACTGTACACATCCCTTTGGACAGCCCAGTAACAAAAAGCATCATTGTGCTCAGATCAGACAAACTTAAAGAACTACCTCCTGGTTCCTTTGTCACTTTTCATGTGGGTGTTGAAGTTCCACACAAACATAGTTGTCTTGCAATATGCAGTCACACAGATGTTTCTTTAGCGAAATAGCTTCAAATCTAATGTTTTAATTTTCTTTTCCCTTTTACATCTAAATGCACGATGGAAGAATGTAGATGGGTATATCATGTTTTAATTGCTTATTTGAGGTCATATAATTCCCCAAGATTTAAGGGTTGTAGAATTCATAGATGTCTCTTCAAACTCTAACCCTTTAAAGGAGTAATCTGTAAGATATCTACTGAATTAAATCATAAAATGACCATGCTATATCTTCAGACATTAGGGAAACATGCTATGTTGAAGTGCTGGCTTTTCTGACAACAATGCAGCAGCAGTATGTCCTCCTTCTATGTTTCGATTCTGGTCCTGAATGGTCTGTATTTGTTTTGACCAGAGAAGGTAGGCGGTTTTAAGGCTCCCCCACACGGCCGTTTTGGACACCCCTCAGTTTGCCAGGCATATGACAAGCCTGCAGGTGTAACATAACTGATTCTACACAACCTATAAAGTCTTAGCAATGTGGTAAAACTAATCCAAATATTTTTTTAAATGCAGAGAGGTTAGAAAGCATTTGGACTACAGTACCCATTCTAAACTCTAAGTGTGAGTGTTACATATTGCGCCTTTAAATACAGACTTTTAGTACTGGAAACACCTTCAATAAAACCTAAAATGTGTGACTGGTTTACAGCAGATACACCAGTTTGTGTACCAATTCTTTAAGGTTGTTTATTTCCAAAAAATAACCTGATTTACTTGATTTCAGACTTTAATGGCATGTTCTTCTCTCCATTAATCTGTAACCCTAGAAAAGTTGTACTTCTCTTTATTCCCATAAAAAAACATTGAAAGCTTTGTTCACTTTACGGCTGCAGGGATGTTGAAAGCACTTTCTCGGTTACATGGAAACACTGTAGAGAAGAGAAAATGTCAGAAATGTCAGACACAATGATCCCAGAATGAATCTTCAAAACCCCCTTTGAATATTCATGTTGAAATGAAGTGGTCTAAAGAAAAAAAGCAGTATTCCTGACATTTTGTGTGTTGTTAAGTGTAAAATGATCAGTTATCTTCATGGACTCAGTCAAACCTTCATTCACACTCACAGGGCTATTGAAGCTTTGCACATGTGCTGTATCTACATCTGTGCTATTTGACCTTTGCAGAGCAAACACAGGATATTTCTGGCAGTGATCTCATTTGCACACTGATTATGCCATCGATCAGGCATTTAACCTGCATGCAATAGATTGCACTGGCTCCCTAATCAATTTTTCATTATGAGCTGGTGATATTTAGAAACTGCTTCACACTCAGGCTTGAAATTGTAATGTTTAAATGATAATGTTTGGACATAAAACGTCACACTACACGTTTTTTTAAATTCCTTTGAACAATGAGGTGTCTATAAAGAGATCTTTTTTTTTTTTTAGGGGCTCATTACAAACTGTTTCATCTTCTTTGTTTCTTTTTTCTATCTATTGTATCTGGTCAGCTTGTTCCCTTGTCTTTCTCAGACTATACTCAACACCTAAGCTCTCAACAGTCGATTAGGCTCTTGAGGGAATGAAACACAAGACTTCTTAAACAAATCAATACATTAAAAAAAAGGATAATAATGAAGAGCATTGATTGGGATAATGTTCAAGCAGAACAGATTGAAGTAAGTTCTGTCTGTCATCACTCTCTTTTGTTTGATTCTGACAGAGCCGCCGTGCCTCGCCGAGCTGGAGAGGATCCAAATGCAGGAGGCAGCCAAGAAGAAGCCAGGTAAATGCATCGATCATTCAAGCAGGGGCGTGTCCAGAGAACGACCTGGGGTGGCATGGGCCCTCCCTGAGAACTGATTTGCAACCCCAAGTGCCAGCCCATAAACTAGTACATGCTATCTGCTTGGTTAGAGGCAGGACTAATGATCAGACAAACTGATTGCGTTAGGCCCTGTGTCCACCTAGCAGGTTTTTTTGGTCGAGCAGAAAAGCGCTGTCTGTGAACATGAATGTACCAACTGGATCGACTCTTTCACGCAAACACTGCACTCCTGAATTTTTCTGACATTGTCTGGGTGGGCTTCATGTGTAACTAAATCTGATCACCTTGACTTTTTTCAGCCAACCCCCTTAGTCTGCATTAAGTCAGGATAAATTGATGTGTGAATACAGCAGGTAATAGCCTGGAACATTCACTGCAAGCAAGTGGGTGAAGCAAAGTCGTCATTCATGTTGAGCAGAGTTTCATATTTTATACTCTATTATTATTATCTATAATATTATTATATTATACTATATTATTTTCTACTGTTGAGTTTGTCCTGTAGACAAGTTGTTCATGTTTAAGTCATATTAGCCTAGAAACAATGACCACTGTGGAAAACCAATAATCTAACACTGTGACGCATACAGTATGTATTTCAGGAACCTAACGTGCTGAAATTAAATTCTTTAATGTGTAAAAGGAGCTTATGATACCTTAATGTGAGTACTGATATGATTATTTGAGACAGAATCTGTAAGAGAGTGCTAATGGTATAATACGATGTGCGCACACATACTGTATGCCAGCAATCACCTTGAAGTCTGCGCTCAAAGTGGGCCACCCCAGTCAAAAAAAGGGGACACACCCTTCCATACGACAATCGGAAGATCAAGACATGTTTGCGTGAACGTTTTAAATATAACCCTTGCATAAAACACCTTTAAGGCAGGAAATCACCACTGACTCATTCAGAAGTCAGACTGTGCTACCATGCGGTGCACCGTCTAGGAGCTGGTGTGTGCCCCCGCACTCGCTCCGGGTCTCAGGTGTACTTGCGTAACAAGGTGCATCGAGCAAGCGAGAGGAGCAGGACGAGGCTCATTTAGGAGATCAAAAGTGCACGGCTATAGAGGGATTAGACCTTAATCAGGCTGATGGTGGGGGAGGGAGGATGCAGTGGTGTTGGGGGGGGGATTAGCTCTCTGAGAAACCCTGGTAAAGTATCTTTTATTTATCCCGCTCTACATTCTGCACAGCTGCTTTTCAGTTTTCGGCTCAGAACACAGAGATGTGAACTTCCATCCCTGAAGCCTACTTGTCTCATTGTTTGTGTTTTTCGCTAGATTTCAGAGTCGGAGGGGGGAGGGGAGGGGGGAGTCAGGAGGGGTGTTGGTGCTTGTTAGAGAACTTTGCTTCGGGTTTGACAAGAGGGTCCTGAGGGAGGCTAAAACAGAGCAGCACTGTCACCAAGGCTGTCCCTGCATCTCAACACGGCACTCTTAAAAAAAGAAAGAAGAAAAAACATGCAGACACTCCGTGTGAAATAACATCCAGCTGCATATGAGAACTTTTATAAAACAAATGGCGAAGCTTTCTCTGTCTCCATGGTATTCTCCCCATCTCTATCTCTATCCTAACTAAGAAGTCAGCATGAGGCTGCTACGTGTGCTAAGTATTCAAGAATCATTCCTGTGTGTGTGTGTGTCCTTGCAGGGACATACATCCCCAGCTGTGACGAGGACGGCTACTACAGGAAAGTACAGTGTGACCAGAGCCGAGGGGAGTGCTGGTGTGCCGACCAGCATGGGGGAGAGATGATGGGCACCAGAATCCATGGGAATCCTGATTGTGGTAATAGAGGGGGCACTTTAGGAAACAGATATTTATATTTCTATCAATGTCCACAGCAGGAAAATCCTTCTTATTAAAGACATTTTTTGTTTGGAACTGATCATATTGGTGTCATTTGGCTCTTTGATAAGAATAATTGAGTATCATCTGCATAACAATACATTTAAAATATAGTTACTATTGATGAACAGAAAGTATTTGCATTTGCGGGACAAATGATGCCCTTTATACCTAAATATGATCTATATTTAGCTTATTTTGAAGTATTATCACAAAATCTATATTTGCATACGTTCCATTTTGCAGATGAAGTCGCTGGATATTCTGGAGATTTTGGGAGTGGAGTGGGATGGGAAGATGAGGAGGAGAAGGAGGCGGAGGATAACGGAGAGGAGGCAGAGGAGGAGGAAGAGGAGGAGGGCGAGGCAGACGATGGAGGATACATCTGGTAGAACTGTCTGACCGCTCGTAAGAGAGAGAGTCAAGTCGCAGCTGCTGGTCTGAAAAATCTACAGGGACGGCTCTCTCCTGGCAGCAAAGGATTTTTGGGATGGGACTGGGGTGTCATGGAGCTGTTTATCATCCTGGTGCGATACGTGGTGCTGGTCCAGTGATTACACAATGACCAGTTTTTGTCTTAGATATGTGTAATTGCTTCATTATCCTCTCTGTTTTTTACTGACAGAGCTTTTTGTTTTGCTGTCCTGAGAAGCAGGACCCACCGACTACTGCAAAATAGGTAGCTATAAAGTCCATCAGAGTTCCTTTCTTGTCCAACGGCCATCTATGCATATAGAGATTACCAGTAATTTTGTATCGTGCAAAAAATTCTCTGAGTATTACAGACGCCGTCACACTGGGATCGAAAGAGATCAGAATCAAGTGAGGATTTGACATAAAGGGAAATATGCTTGTTTGCTTTTTGATCTAATATTTGATGCAACCTGTGGTTTAGATATGAAGCTAAAGTTAGGAGAAGTGTAGCTCAGCTTAGCTTAGCATTGTTGAGATCTTTAAAAAAAAACAAAAAAACAATCCAAGCATTGAAAGCTCACTTATTAACTTTTTCTCATACCTTGTGTTATCAGTACAAAAGCATCATTTTGTACATGCATGCATGTTGTGTTTTCTTGAACTGTTCACTATACAATACAGGAAGTCTCTGCATCGGGAAAACGAGAGAGAGAGATGATCCACTAAAACACTACCCACAATTATTTATTTTTTTACAAATCAGACATTAAAAAAAAGGTGTTGGAGAAAGGCTCAAAAGATACTTTGAGGTGCTTTCTGTTACTTTTGGATAGAGCTATGCTAACTGTTTACCCCTGGTTAAGTTCATTAATGCTAAAGTAAGGGGATATTTTTAGGCAAAGGAATTTACCAGCTTTCAAAGGGTCGCTTTGGATGACGAATGGAAAATGATCATCTTTATCTGAGTTTACTCTTGGCTGTAGAAATCTCTTATTTGAATCTTTCTGCTCCCAAACATTATTTTCAGTAACTTTCAGTAACAACCTCACTATACACTAAATGCACAACTAAATGGCAAGCAGACAACATAGCATCAAACTGGTCAACGAAGCGACGCACTTAGTTGCTAAAGAGATGGATACTTTCTCCCAGGAACTATATCAATAATTACATATATTAATGACGTTTTCCTTATGGCTGTAAAGATGACCCCGAGTCAGTGTGAGAGTTGCTCCATGCATGCTTGATGTGTAAATGAGTAACTCTATGCTAAAATATTTAAATTAAGATGTTTACAATATGGCTTCATATCAACCACACAGACCGAGTTCGATTGAGCTACTTATCCATGCCAGAGAGTTAATGGGCATGTTTCCTAAATGTCAAACCTTTCCTTCAAAGCCACTCTGTCTAATGATGTTATGTATTTCCAAACTGATTCTGTAAATAAATCCATTGTAAATTATCAAGTTAAGCAGATTTCAGGTAACAACGGTTTCGAGCTACCTTTACGTTTAAGGTGTAGCTTACAAAGCTCTTACAAAGTTTTTCAAGATTAGCCTAGTGTACATGCTTTACAAATTAAGTGCGACACAAACAGGACCTATATTTCCAGTTGGATTTCTTTGATTGAAAACCTGTAGAATGTAATTCAATGACCCCCAAACTGCACCTACAGTAGAATCCACTAGCTGCTGTCCTCTGCTAACTCTGAAAATCATGTCAAAGAATGTGCCATAAATATGTTTTCTTCTGTTTGCAGCTTAAAAAAAAAACTGTATTTTGTGTTTATAAAAAAAGAAAAGTGTGCATTACTTGAAGTTCTTTGTGTATACTTGAATTCACATTGTAATTTTTTTCTATGAGATTATCGTTGCCATGGCTTCATTCATGCTATTAGTAGGTCAGACATTTAGTAGTTTTTAGTATTGCATGTTAGGAAATAAGAATGTACTCCTCGGCTGAGCACTTTACTAATAAAGGCACATGGAGCCAAGCTGTATGTTCCCTTCAATCTCTTCTATCACAGGAATGAAAGATGGTCACCCAGAGAGAAATTAGATTGAGTTTATCGCTCCTGCAACAACCAAGTCACACTCTATCATCCCCTGTATTTAATTATGAGGTTTTTTTGCAATAATCCTGCTAGAAAAAGAAAGGAATGCTGTGCTCAGGGGTGCCTGGAGGGAAATTAAATGAATTTGATAAAGGCAGGTTGACACACTGTAAGGTAGTGAGGAGAGGATATGTATCACAGACTGCAGCTTTCCGCTTTCTCTTACCTCAGGAGATCAAATTTATTTTTTGCAACTTTAGCATAGGCGCTTTTAAAACAGATGTTGAGCACTCTTTTTCCAAGAAATAACAATCTTCCTTAAGTAGATTATACTTCTTTTAAACTGGAGTGTAAATATGAATAATGTTCTGTTCTAAAAAACTTTCTCAGGACCTTTGTGTCCCCACCAGGTGTGCGAAGCTGATTACTAAAGTGTATTACGGCTAAAGCTGCTAACAGCCGCAATTACATCTGATTATGTTTGACAAGGCATTAAGTAAATACAGTTTCATCATCAACGACAATAATGGAGCCTGCTGTGATAAACAAGAAGCAGAATCTGAGTCTCTAGCAAGCAGGTGGGGATATTAGCAGGGGTTGTTTTGGTGCTCAGATGCCACCTCATGCTAGAAGACCAAAAAACAGCCACATGGCAGACTACTAAATGACCATCAAATCTTTAATGAATGGGCCTGTACTACTTCATTTTAGCACAAATAGCAGTCCAAAAGTCCCAAATTAAAGTGCACGACTAATATTCTTATGTCAAACATTGTAAAAATTAAAAGTAAATGCTGGGTACATGATTGTATTTAATTAAAACTCAGAAGAATTGTTATTAGTGCTAATGCTTACATCACTTAACTGCAATTTATTCAAAACTAGAACTTGTGTCATTTAATATCTAAATTAGATGTAAGACAGAAACAAATTTTGTGTTATAGTTATTGTTTTTCAAATTCAAAATTTTAATAAAAACCAGTAGTGCTGCAAAAAAAAAAATCCCTTTGAAATGTAGTGTAGGAAACTAAACGGTTTCTTTCAATTGAATTCCAGGAACTCTAAACAGTTTTGTTAATGCAAAAGTTGTCCCCAAACATCCTGGTACACCATCCATTAGACAAAAGGTGTTATTTACATTTTAACAAGACCAAGAGTCCAAAGCCATACAGCCTTCTGTGAGATAGACTTCCATAAACCAGGCGTTTGAGCTGACTCCTACTGTCTGCATGCTAGGAAACACACTTGTGCTTAAATTGACTTTGTTATAACAATTTATGTCAGGGAGTTCATAAATTTTGGAATCCATAAAAATTCCATGGGAGTCCTCCAAACAATTGTCAGTCTATCCGGTAGATGTTGAAATATTTGCGGTGACAGGCAGACAGTGAAGGGCAGCTAAGAGTTATGCAGTAACTTCTCTTCAAGAGTCTAAATAAGCCTAGAAGCAGAGTGATACACATAGTGCAGTTTGTTGAAATAACAATGCACATCAATATTTAAGCTTGAAGATAAACAATTGTTTTGGCAAGTGAACAAAAAATGTGGAAAGAGATTGTAGAACCAAACCTTGTTTCACCTGTTAAAATGTTTTTTCCCCCTTATCTGTTCATACCAATGAAAAAGTAATGAGCTTGAACTATTAAGCAATATCCTGCTTTTTTTAAATTACATTTTCTTTATCCATAAACAACATTGTAGTGAGCTTCAACATTTTGGTTACTTATTCTTATACTGTCTGGAATTAAGAGAGGTGACCCAGGATAGAGCCTTGGGGGACACCACAGCAAAGTGTGACACAAGAGGACAACTGTCCTCCAAGCACAATAGAGACAAGCCGCAGTATTGGTCAAAGCTTATGACCTATTGTGTCAGCTTGTTTATTTTAAGATACACCCCCCTCAGGTTTTATTCACACTTTCTTTTTCTTTCAGGTCCAAAATCAGATTCTGAGCAAATGATTGGATGTGACAAGCCCCGAACAATGAGCAAAGGTCATTAATGCAGTTTCTTTTTACCAATGAAGATAGACAGTGTTGATTACTTGAAAACCCTGCACACAAAAATGACACATGGCCAGTTGAATCCAAAAGAGGTTGATTTTATTACAACACTTAAACACTCATCAAATAGCTTTATCATAATATGTGGATGCTGTTTTCATGTTTAAAACATTTGCACAGGCCAGTGCTACATATAAATAATTTCAATTTATATTCAGTTATAAATAACTCACATACATTATTATTATTACAGCTAAAGGACAGCTACTGTACAAACATTTACAACTGTGTTATACATCATTTACAGGAGTTGTGCTACTGGCACAGAACACTTCTAAAAGGAAAAGCAGTTTGTTTGCATGCATACTCTCCAACACTCTTAGTATAAATCAGTTTCATATCTTCTAATCTTAGTTACAATTAACCTGCATTTTTCAAAAACAGAAATGTTGTCCGTAAACAAGTGATGCACAAAACAGATAAAAGTGTCTGTTCCCCATAAACATTTCTAGTTTAGCAAAATAAGGATACAGGCCATAAAAATATGCATGTTCACATAAAAGGGCGCAAAGGACAAAAATATGTTGGAATCCATAAGATTAAAACACAATTTCAAATTTTAACAAATAAAGTTTAAAAGTGCACTCTCATATCTTCACAGATAATCAAAAAGTACACCTTCTACCTGCAGCACTCAACCCTGCTGCAGTGTTTACAAGCTGAATCCATTTCTTCATATTGCTCAGAATAGAATAAGGAACTAAATAAAAATAATAATTAAGAGTTGGTGTTCATGAACAGGCTCGTAAATAAGGTCGTTATTACTCAAAGAGTGGAGTTAGATTGTCTCTTCTACATTACCGTTGGCCATTCCACTATCTGCTGTTTTAAGGGTAATGCATACTTCCTTCATATTATAATAAAACAAGAACAGCCTGTTTAAGGGTTCATCTGAGTTATCAAAACTCGAAATGAAGAATTATTTTAGTCAAACTAACACACCTCATATTAGCTGCCTTCAACGCAACATGTAACAGCACTGAACAAACTCCATCATGACACTGACACTGAGGTGCAGATTATCAAAACGCATCAGTGAGTGGCTTCATTTGGCTCAGTTAATTCCATCCGTTTTGCCTGTATTTGTGCAATGTTCTGTCTTTTCTCTTTTTTTTGATTAATTTCCGAATGATTTGTTTTGACTCAGTGTGAAAGAAATCTTTTGTGCAGTCTAATTGTTTCCCCTAGCAATTCTTAAGTAATTACCATACATCTTTGGCTCTGTGCTTTGAAGGCAATGGCTTCTATTAAATTAAATTAATCATGTGTGTTTAGTTATTTATCTTTTTTTTAAATCTCAACCTGATCTTATTTATATGATGTCAGATAAGCTTTAAAATACCCAACGAAATAACGACTAACTTGATTCTTTAGATAGCTCAGTTCCTAATGAATCCAATAAAGGGCTGTCAGTCTGTTCCATAATAAATAAAGCAACACGGATGTACATATCTACATGGTTGCATAATGTATGACTTCTCATTTACATTTCATACAGATTTCACATTAATAACACAGAAAGGACAGACAGTTCACCATGAACCACTTTTTAAAAGTTTGCATAGAAACCTTTAAATCCCGAATAACTGCTTGAAGTATTCAAAAGAAAATATGCTCTTCATTATGCTGTTTGAATTTTGGGCTGAGTGACACTATCAAAGGCTCAAAGTCTTTGTCATGCTTTGTGAAAACGTGTCAAGAAAAATCCCCTCTGGTTACACTTCAATCCGGTGTCAGTCGATGTACTGTGATAACCATCTGAAACCTTCCCCGTAGCCTTGCTTTTTCAACACGCTGCACATGAAAATCTCCAGCGGTCGGGCATTCAGCTCCTTCAGGGAGACATTTCCCTGTCGATAACAACACAGATAAATTAAGGCTCAACACATCAGGCACCACACAGACACACAGTGATTCTTACTCTCTGATTAAAAGACCGGCTCTGTGTTATACCTTTCCTGTAACTTGACCATCAAGAGCAAAAGCGCCTCTTAGTCCTCCTTCACTGATGGCCTCAGGGCGGTCAATTTTATTACCCAACACCAACACTGGGACATTAACTATAGTCTCATCTCCAAGAAGAGCCTGGGGAAAAAAAGCACAGTCATCAACATCAATCTACTGTTAACAAAGTACAGATAGTGGTCCGTGGTGGAAACAGCTTGTATCCGTGGTGTTTAAACTTACATCGAGTTCAGTCTTGGATTCTGTGAGCCTGTCGTGATCTGCACAGTCTACAAGAAAGACGACTCCGTTTATAGCCGGGAGGTAGTTCTTCCACACTCTTCGAGCTGTCCGCAAAGGAAAAACAGATTGTGAATTAGCTAACCAACAGCAATATGACAGGAAGCTGTGTCCTTAAATGTTCCTGTGTACAATAGTTAAGAGATACTTGAGTAGTGGTATGTTTGTATACGGGACGTTTCAATGAGTACATTCGACTAAATACCCATCCTGATGGACATCAGGCCAAGTTTAATCAGCCTAGATAGAACACGTGTTGGAGCTTTTTCTTATTTCAGGATTTATATTTGTGTTTACAAGGAAATACATTTTTATTTTCCATGATATGTAAAATCCAGTCACAGTTACAGCATAAGAACTCATCCCCATTCCTATGCCTTCTCTCTTCCTGCTCATTTCCTGCAGCATTGGCACATCCTTTATATTTCCATTCAATGTGCTCAACGATCTAGGCTCACTAGTTCCATTAGAGCTGATCTGAAATCACACACGACACTGCGATGGCTGCAGAGACACCATGTGGCAGCAACGAGAACTGAGATTGGTCCTGCTTTTCTTCAGCACGTTTACTGATCACTATAGAGATGACTTGTGCTGAAGGCAACAAAGAAAAGGTGATGATGACTCTACAATTGAAAAGTCCATTACTATTGGCGAAAATGAAAAAGAAGTCACCTTGTACATGTCCTCCCAGATCAAATGTAGTGAAAGTCATCCCACCGATTGTCAGCTCTTCAGATGCTTCAGGGAAAGATTAAAAATTGTTTTTAATTCAGGTGCTTTTTGGTCTGCACAGAGGAACTTGCGAGGCTGGAAATGTTGAAGGAAGTACCGATATATCACTATCACAATGTTAACACATGCAAAGATATCAGGCAATTCTTTAACATGACACATTTGCAGTACAGTCATCTGCTACAAAAGATGTGTAACGGGCAACTAGATGAAATAACTTTCGCAAACTAGAATCAAACATTTAGTGTTGTTGGTATTCTTTAACAACAATCACAGCACTATTGCAATGCTTCCTTACTTGGATGCAGCGTCGGCACGTGTTGGCCCAGTCGGTCATCTTTCAACATGTGTAGAAGAGTTGTTTTGCCGGCATTGTCCAGGCCCAGGAAAACCAACTTCCCACTCTTTTTGTAAAGACCTGGAAGAAAGATTTCACAAATGAAAGAACAATAACCTACATTTTTAAATCAAAGGCTTAATGCCCAGAGGGCGAACGTGACCAAAATATTAACATTTTCCTTCTATAAATACTGGTGGTGCTGCTACTTCTATTCTTACAAAACTTAAATATTCTCCAACACTTTTTACTCAGCGCAAAGCAGAAGCCAGAACTTACCTAAGAACTGTAAGACACTACTAAACCCTTTGTAGATCCAGTCAAATAAAAACGACATCTTGTTGGTTTCTGACTAAAACAAGAAAAGAGGAGAGATTAGCAAACTTCATTTGAAACTATATGTGAAAACAAAAGGAGCATTAATTTGGTTGAATATTTACGTCACAATGCAGACTATACGGGCTGTAGCCGCTGATGTTGTACTCGGCTAATTACACTCCTCATGACATAGTTTAACACTTTATGTGATTGGCTGAGTGTGAAACCAAACTAACAGTTTTTTTTGGCTGAAAAAGAATTGAATGTAGGTCTTGTCTGACAGGAGAAGTCTCCATTTCATTGGAGCTGATGTTTCAGTATATACCTCATATATAATCAGTACACCCAGCTCTAATTATAACACATTAGATTGTATGGTAAATCTTTTGTGCAGTCTAATTGTTTCCCCTCGTAATTCTCAAGTAATTACCATACATCTTTGGCTCTGTGCTTTGAAGGCAGTGGCTTCTATTAAATTAAATTAATCATGTGTGTTTAGTTATTTATCTTTTTTTTTTAAATCTCAACCTGACCTTATTTATATGATGTCAGGTAAGCTTTAAAATACCCCCCAAAAAAAGATATATTTGCAACTAATTACATGTAAGAATGGGGAATAGAATACCAGAGTTATTCATGAACTAAGCTAAAAAAAAAATAAGTCAGAAAAACATGCCACAGTATTATTTTAGATACTAGGAAGTAGTATTTTGCAGATTAATAGTCGGCTTTCCAGCACACCTCTTGGCTAATCGTAGGAGAAAGGACAACTAACAACATTAAGACAGATGGAATCCACTGAGGTGCTACTACAGTGTTCGTCCTTACTCTGTGAAACTTCATTGAACTGATTCAATTTATTTCAGACATATCAAAAAAAAATCAAACATATCAAAAATACAAAAGAAAATGAAAAGCACGAAAATACAATAAACAAAAAAAAAAAATGTTCAAATTATTTCACAAAAAAAAAGAAAAAGAAAAAGAACATATATTCAATTGATATGCCTGAAAAGGAGTAGTATAAAACTTATTTAATCCTACCCCTTTTCCACAGCTCAATAATTATTATCTATTAAACTAAATTCCTGTGTTCCTTATAAGCTCTCTATATACACAATTCGCAATACTAATATTACTATTATTATTTATATATATATATTTTTCCTTCTTAATGGAACTGAGCCACCTTTAACTAAATCTATTTCTTCCCGTGTTTATCTCCTATAACAGCGTCATAGCTGCCAAACGAGTATAGTGGCGTCTTTACCACCTGCGAGCAAAAGTGTGGCTATTGTTTGCAAAGCTTGGATAAAAGCAAAGGTAGTGCATGCAAACACCTGAGGGGGTTGCACATGTTTTCGACTGTGCATAAAGCATTCGACCATTTGGACGCAACAGGTTCTGTTAAACGATGGACCTGTGGTGAGATTATCTAATTTAAGGTAGAAGTCATCACCGCTCCTGGCAGCTATGATCATCACTTTTTGTTTGTTTTTGTTTTGCTTTGCAGCTACATTACAACAGCTGGACGCATGATGTTTACAGGCGTCAAGAAAACTGTGAAGCCTCTACTTTAGTATGCTGTAGCATGGTTTAGTAAATCCACGGTGTTTCCGAGATACCTTCTCTGAAGCACATTAGCTAACATTAAAGCTCTGGTACTTTCTACAGTCTGACATGTGTTATCGTTTAAAGCCACACGGAACTCTCGCACAGTTATTTTTCAACTACTGCCAATGACACAATGTGTTATATTGTCCTTCTTCAATCTGAATTTGTTCTCTACCTTTGACGTTAATTGACTTACCCTCTCTGCACGCCCCGGTAGCCTAGCAGCTCGGCGGTGTTGGTGGTCTCCTTGGAAACAGTCAATCTCAGTTCCGCTTCTGCTGCTGCTTCTTCTTCTTCGTGACGTGGGATTTAGCGTTCAGCATCCGTGTACTGCTGCGGTAGCGCCCTCATCTGGACGGCGGGGAGATTATTCCTCCAGTGGATAAACTTGTGTCGCCCCTCTTATTTACTAGTCTGGTGCTCCAGCGTCGTAGGAGAAATGTGAACTGGTGAATTCGTAGTACTTCTCAGGGAATGTGTGGAGGTGTTCAAAACTTTTACTCAAGTAGAAATAGAAATACCCGACTGATGAAAAACTTAACCACTGTCCCGAAGTTAGAAACCTACTTAAAAAAGTATTTGGTTTAACAGAAAAAAAAAAAAAATTCCTATCAAATTAGCTCTGAAGTTAAATACATACTTTTTTAACATCACATTTTATCGTTTCGGATTAAATTCATGTCAGAAAAAGAAAATGCAATTCACAAAATCATGTGATAATTTGGTGTTTTTATTGTAATGTAAGTCTGAAATCAAAGTACTGACCCTAAAATGAATGAAACATTGAAGTAACGCACAAAAAACAAGCAATTGTTGACAACAACGGACATAACAGACGAAAAACGTGAACAAAAAAAGCGACTAAATGAGACATAAAGCGACATAGACTCAGTTCATTCAGATCATGGAGTGATGTGTTGATTTCATCAGATCAAGGAAGGAATGAAGGATTTTCTTCTTACTACTCATAGTAGAACCATTTGTCAACTGAAAAACAACAACAACGAATTACATTTTATTTTCAAAAAGTATCAAAATATGAAAGCTGAGATTAAAAAAAAAGAATGTACAAATGCCCACCTGAAGTTGGAATGGGATCTTCAGCTCCAAATTCAGATGCCTGTAAAAAAAAAAACATCAGATGGTGTTATTTTCTGCTGATCATGAGGATTACATGTACATTTCTGTGATATAATTCATAAAGTACAGATGTTGCAAGGCTGTTTGCTATATTATAAATGCTAGTATCCGGTTTGTGGAAAAACTGGTGTAAATTGACAGATTCAGTCTTCAGCATTTCTCTGGATTTTTACAATTTAATCGTGCTCTCCTCTTGCTGGAGGACTTTTTTGTGTTATCAGTCCATAGAGCACACTGTTGTGAATTGGTAACACACCATATCAATATTACATTTCAAGCTGGTAAAATGAATAAAAAATTAAAGCAGACTTACAGACTTAACCACAGCCTCTGCATCCCCTGTAGAGCAGTGGAACGGACTGTCTGAGACACTGGTGTTCATGCTGATTTAAGATACAGACAGAAAATGAAATCAGTTTTAATACCAAAGGACCTCAAAGGCATTGCTCACATTACTAAAATTCCACTTTTTAATGCAGAAAGATTTTCAAACGCTCGTGTCTGTGTTCCATCAATCGATGCTTGAAAATAATGTTAAAGCTCCTGTGAGGAACTTAAAGCTTGTTTTCTCTTTCAAAGCAGTGTTATTTAACCAACATGCTCATCCTCCTTTTTTTTAACAGTCAAAGGTATTACTCACTTTACAACTTTGCTGTGTAATTTTTTTTTTTTTTTTTTTAAAGGGCTGTTTCATCAGCATTCAGTTAATCACCTAGTTTGACACTTGTCCAGCAGTGGTTTCAGGTTTTAATAACAACAATATAGAATTTGTCTTTCTTAATGCTGATGGTCTTGTTTACTTTTGAAGATCATAAAAAGACATCAGCGTTAAGTTTAGTCTACTTCATAACCAACCTGAAACAATGATATACATAGACATATGAACAATATGGAGCTCACTGTATGATGTTAAGTTAAATTCTGAACATGAATCAAACACACCAATTTAGCTCGCCAGCGTTGGTTTCTTGGATATTAGTGCCTTCCAAAACTCATGGGTGCTCTTGATTGTTTGAATAGCAAAATCCTGCAAAAACAGATTACAGTCAGAAAAGACATACTTACTTCATCAAATAGATATGCTCAAAAGAAAACATCAATATTCAGGCTATATCTTGTGCCATCTTTTAAAAATTGTTGATTGTAATCTTCCATTTGTGATTTACTTCTTTATTCGACACAACTGTTTCATCATGTAAAGTTTAAAACACGTTCTAAAGCACAAAAACACGATAAAGAAAGTTTTAAAAGTGTACCCTGTCCTTAAACTCTCCGTTGAAAGCGAACTGGTTTTCAGGTTTCCCATCTGGAACTTTGTATCTTTTGAACCAATCAAAAGTTGCCTCCAGGTACCCGGGCTTGAGTCGTCTCACATCGTCAATGTCTGCGATGAATCAATGAAAAGCAGAACTGTTAAAGTCTGAAAACAAACCATTGTAAATGAAGGCATACTTTTAGTGCCAGAAGCTTGTATTGTATGGCGTCTCAATAATGAAAAAAAGAAATCTAAAAAGGAATGAGAAAAAACATTTGAAAATAAAAAAAGGAGTAGTGTTTTATTAAATCAATAGCAGAAAAACTAGGTTAAAGAGTTTAAAAAAAGGGAAATGTTTGAAACCCTTAATTTTACATTACTCTAAATAAAAAATAAAAAGATTAAGAAACAAACAAAACAAAAGAAACACATGCCCCAAAAAAATATACAAAGAAGAAGAAAGAAGAATAGACTCATTTGTATGGATTATGAAGATTATAAAATCATATACTTGAAATAGACATTTAAATCTTTGCATGAAAAAAAAAATAAATAAATTCATATACTTTGATATTTGTATTTACGTTTCCAAATGTGTATTTCTCATGTTTTTAATTTGTGTTGTTTTTACCACTCAATACCCAAATGTATTTTTACTGTTCTTCGTGAAGACGCATTCTCTTTTTTGGAACTCCTTTGACTCCGTACTTTTACACGTTTAGCCATACCATTAAAGTCGGCGGCTTCAGGGTCCTCTGTGTTGATCACAATGACCTTCCAGTCTGTTTCCCCCTCATCGATCAAAGCCAGAGTTCCCAACACCTTCACTTTGATTATTTCTCCTCGAGAACACACCTGAGAATTAAAGACTTGTTTAAAAAAAAAAACATTGAAAATGACTCGGTCTCCCCAAAGCCTGTAGTCAAAGTTGTTCCAGAACCTTATTTCCTATGTCACATATATCGATAGGATCATTGTCTCCACAGCAGCCCGTGTCACTGTCCTTATGGTTGGGGTCTTCCCACGTCTGTGAGAGGGAAAAATCACAGGTTTGATGGAGCAGAGAAGCTGTTTTCTGTATTTTGAGTCTGATCAGAGTGGAGACTTGCCTGTGGAATAGCGCCATAGTTCCAGATGTAGCCTTTGTGAGGAAAAACATTAGCTACAAATCTGAGATTCCCCTTCTTCAGGTCTTGTTTCAGTGGGTTAAGAGGATCTTTGGTGGCAATCTGATAAACAAAAAGACCACCATTAGACTTAAAACAGAAGCAAGCAATGACCATGTGGTCACTGTATGATTTGAAGTCATAATCATTTAAAATAATACAACATATTGCTATTAAAAGAAAAAAGTGTTATACAAAATATCAGTATTGGAGAGCAGATTCTGTCACATTTATCAGCACATTTACAACGGGTAGAATCCTATCATTAAAAACGTTTAGTTAGCACATTTTCTGATTTACATTTTTTTTTAGGGGTACATACCTCCATCTTTGCATTTGTCCATCTTGGGACCTCGATAACGGCGTGGAAAATATTCTGCAAGATCAACCGAAATACAGCATTGTCACACCAAGAATGTCAAACTTATCCTAAGACGACTTACACATAGCCGTGATTATGCATTGAAACATAGACCAAAGCTTCGCAACACAAAATAAGAATGAAGCTGAAAGGAATAGCTGATGTCAATAGTGCTGACAGTGATTAAAAAAAATGTTTAACCAATGGAATAGTGTAACTGGAAAAGTGAATGAGCCCTAGATAAATAACTTATTGCTTGAGAAGCATTAAACTTTCTGCAGAGATAACTATATCCCACATTTAATCTATAGCAGTGGTTCTCAACTGGTGGTTTTGGACCCAAAAGTGGGTTTCTGAGCCATTGGCAGTGGGTCACATATGTGTCCCTGGAAAAACACGTGTACAAAACAATGCAGCAGTGCTTGAGGTCTGAGGTCTGAGGTCCAAACTATAATATTTTTCATTAAATAAAATCTGATTGGTTGAAAAATATCAGAGACTTTTCTCACAGTTTGTCATTGGGGAGTTGAGAACCACTGATCTATAGAAGGCACTTAATGGACACTCTTAAGCCTATGATGTGTATTGTATTTCACCCTAGAGGCCCAGGGCAGTAATTTAATGGTGCCATCTTTGCCTGGACTGAACGTACAGGTACTAAAGTCAGTTAAGGACACACACACTTTGCCCCCAAGGTGGTGCTGAGAAAAATCAGCTCTCTACCACTGAAGACAAATTGAAAATGGCTTTTTGCTGAATGTCTCCTGAAGCAGGAATTGCCACAATTGCAGGGCAGAGGCATAAAAAGCCGTGCAGATTCTTCCATAATCGCCTAAAGTGACTCTCTTTGATTACCTGGAGTAAATTACTATGCTTTAAAACTACAAAATGGTGGTTGCAGAGCAATTGCCTGCGATAAATAGTAGAGAGCATGAACACAGCACGAATCACTCAACAAGCTTTTTGTACTTCTCTAAAGGTATGAATACAGATCTTCAGAAGTTACACGTGATGCTCACCTCAGCTTCATTTGCGTAGACAGGTATGTCATGGAATGGAGAGATGTATTCACCTGCTGAGTTTTCTAATGAAAGAAAAATGTGTTTTTAAACAACTACATATCTTTAACACTCCAGTGAACTAAAAAGTGAGAGCTCAACAATTACTTGTCAGTTGTCAATACAGCTAGTAGTTATTGCTAAAGCTACAAGCTAATCAAGCACCCATGCATAACCCAGGAAGGAATACTGTAAGTCCCCACTAACAGAAAATATAAGAAGTGGTCTTACTGAAAAACACCCTGTAGTCCTGAGTGTTTGGCCTGCCTCTCTCTTCGATGGTAAAGCTCATGTCTGTTGTTTCTGAAAGGACTCCCTCTGCGGTCTGAGCACTAATTCAGGGAACTAAGAAGCTCCAGACTGACAGACAATCACTGAGGCTGAGGCACCAGGCATGCGCCCTACTTACATTAAGCCATGGTTAGAGACCTGACACCTGCCTGCAGGTGACCACAGGACTGCAGTATGGACAGATGATGCAGCAACGTTAGCTTCAATATGCAGCTCTGTGGTTGTTTTATTTGTGGCAAGCTCAGTTAACATACCTCTGAGAGAAGCACAGTGTGCTCAGAATAGGATTCAACCACTTATCCTTACTTATTACAACTTTCTCTGTGGCTGCCACCGGTTTCCTCATGGCATGGTTGTAAAGTGTGTACCCTCTTTGCATGTTGAGTGATTTGTTTCCATTTCCATCATGTAACCCCGAGTGGCTCTTGAGAGCTCTTTTCAGGCAGAAACAGATGGAGCTGACTGGTGTTAGCAGTAAACCAATTAACAAGGCAGGATTAGCTAGCATGCTTGTTCTTTCCCTAAAGTATCACTGTAACTACTGGATAACATACTTATTTGCCATTTTTAGAAAAGTGTAAAATGATGTTACCTAATCTCTTTTTGTCTTTAATCCATAGCCTCTACCTTGGAAGCATGGTTAATACTGGTAATGACTGGCCTTTACTTGATTCAAATGTTGAATAACAGTTAATCCGGGTACCTTATGTGGCCTATCGGTTAGCTTTTATTATATATATATATATATGCATTATCAGGACACACAAGCAGGGCTTAAATAAGTGACTTGAGAGGTCATCATAAACACAAGGCGATCTGGCAAAGGCTTGTGGGAGCCACTACACATCTAACATGGTGCCATTACATTTGACGTGTGAAATACATGTTTATTATAGCACTCATTTACGCCTCCAATGAATACAGCCTGTTAATGAAGTGTTTATTACATCATGTCAGAATGATTACCAGGAAGCTGGCTAGTTGAAGAAAGTGCAGTTTTTTTTGTAGCTAAATCACATTTCATCTAAAATTAACCTGCTGAATACAGTTAAAAAGTTGCCGCAAAGAGAGAACCAAACATTTAGATCTGTAAACTACGAGTGAAAGGAAAACGTCAAGCACTTTCTTTGGTACTGTTGGTACAGATCAAAGAACTGTGAGTCAGAGAGGTTATTATTATGCCCACAAGGTCAAAAGCAGGGCAGCAGAGGAGTCACGTGACACTTTAAGCTTAAATATTACTCTTGAACACAACCTGTTCCTCTTTTGCTCATTTGTACGTTTTTAAGATCTGAATATTATAGGACTTCACCCAGAAAGGGCATGTGAAAAACAACTTTAATTACTAAATCTCCCTCAATCTCTCACAGTGCTGCCTTACTCTTCTTCCACAAAAGCTCTTAATTGCGAGCCAAAACATCAGCTTATAGCAGATCCAGACGCAGCAGATTTGCTATTTAAAGAATTCCTGAAAAGCTCGAGCAAAACACTCTAAGCCTGTGACTGTGGAGACTTATAAGCAGAGTTATTCATTTAAGGAGAGATTAAGGGCTTGATATGTATTTAGGTGGCTTTCAGTCCAAACAAATGTCTTCAGAGCTTCTGCTGTGCTACTGGGCACCAGACGGTTTCAGAAAATGTTGCTTATATCTGGATTTGGTTCACTGTTGTGAGTATAAAGTGTTCTGATGGCTTATTTATGCCTTTATTTAGAGATAGGACTGTCGATAGAGTCAGAAATCAGGGAGAGAGAGAGAGTGGGGAATGACATGCCGGAAAGGTGCCACATGACAGATTCGAACCTGGGCCGCCCGCTTGAAGGACCACAGCCTCCATTTATGGGGTGTGCTCACGAGGCTACCGTTGAGATTTTTTTTAATCAAAAAATATTTAATTTAAAAGCTTCACTTTAGGTTCAGATAGATGAGGTGGACCTCTATGACTTTATTTTAGCTGTCATTTTTATATTGGGGGTTCCATTGACAAACCTCTGGAAACACATTTAATCATTTTCCATATTTCCAAACAGTCCCTGGTGCCACCTTTTTATCTTGACGATGAACATATCTGGTATATCTGGCATATCTATTAGTGGTTCAGGAATGTCTTTCAAACTGAACATTTTCAGGAAAGCACTTGAAAGATTGAAGTGATGATTTTCTGACACTTTTTTGTACAAAGTGAATCATTCACTGTAGATAATTATTTCTCTACTGATCGAAACTGGAAAGAAATTAAAAGTTGAAGTCCTATTTAAAACATTCACTCTCGTATAAGCCACTTATGTTTCTGCTCAAAATATTGACTCAAGCACACTATAGTTTCAGCGATGAATCTCTCACCAGTCAAAAAATATGAACGCCAGACTGCATTGTTTCAAGTCCATACATTTTAATTCTAAAAACCGTTTAACACTATCAAAAGTAATAAATAAGTCATTCTTTCTGGCTTTTGTCTGAACTCAGATAAAATGTCAAGAAAGAGATGTAGAAAGATGAGATTGATTTCACCTCAAACAACAACTCCAAAATTTTGTATCTGAATCGAAGAGGACGCCATCTTTACACACCTCTGTTTCCCTTTCTCTTGTAAACTAGCTTTGATATCTTCAGCTCATCATCTTAAAGTATTGTGTTTTTATCGTCTTTCAATCTTTCAGGCACACTTAAGCATTCAAATGAAGTAGTTAAAGGCACGCAGCATCCAGCCTGTAGATATGTAGAGACATATTTTAGGACTCTCTTGTCATCAAGATGTCAACACTGTTGGATGATTGTAGAGCAGACTGAGTGTTTGAGTCCAAAGGATTCGACTTCATGTTGAGCCACTTCAATGCTGGCATGTTAAACAACTTATCCACTGGTATCTCTGTAGGAGAATAAGAATAAAAAATACACTCAGACCATGTCATTTAACAGCCGAAAATGCTTTGTGATATTATATTATTCTTACCAGAGATGCTATTTCCCTCCAGGTTAATCCTCTCCAGTGTGGCTATTTCTGTGAGTTTATCAGGGAAGATGGAGAAGCTGTTATTAGCCAGATTGATGCTGGTCAAGTGCTCCATTTCTCCCACGCTGTCAGGCAGTTTGGTGAGGACGTTGCCCTGCAGGTCCAGTTCTGCAAGACAGTTGAAGATATTAGTAAATTGCGGGGATTGCTTGACTGTTCTGTAATCAGGGAATAATTTCAGCTGGCAAACACAATCTTGTCTGAAGAATTCACTACTTTAATCAAATATCTGCAGTCTGTTATTATCCCCCACCTCTCAGCTCAGTGAAGGTTGAAAAGACCTTGCTGGAAACGGACTTCATCTCATTGTCGGCCAACGTGATAACACGGATGTTTCCTGTGACACTCCTCAGCACCTTGAACACACCGTCAGGGAAAGAAATGAGCTTGCACCTGGAAAGGTCTGCAGAGAGAATAACATAATGATGGCATTATTAAGAATAAAATAAACAGTTAAATGTTAAAATGTATAACTGACCAATGTTTTTTTTTTTTTTCCAGACTTGTTAGTAATTTGAGCAAAAATAAATTAAACCTCTGTCACCACCTGCTGGTGAAATCCAAAATAACATTTATCAGGATAGTGAATCAGGTGTTTCATTCATGAGAATAAGATATATAGAGAAATATGTGATGAGAAGAGTCTTACCCAAACTATCTTTCCCCTCCTCAACTGTTGCATTGATCCTTCTGGCCACATTTGCTACTGCCTCAGCCATGTTTCTGTGGACTGTTCCTGAAGGTGGGGGGGGACAAAACACATTTTATACACATAAAAGATGTATCACAGACATGACACAACATAATTACATACATGTATCCACTGTCAGCTCCATTTAACACATTCAGCTACACAACAGAAGCACCAATTTGTGTCCATTTATCACATAAGTCTGCTGACCTATTTCCTGTAATTTCCAGGAAGCTGCACCGACACACAATTCAATTATTGAAGGCAACAATGCAAAAACGCCCAAATAGAAGCTTTTAATCAACTTTTTCAGGTTCACAATATGATACATAGACTACTTACAAAAAACACTAACAACTTGAAATGATTAGGAAGTGCCCCCTGTAGGCCTGTAGCCTATTCTTTATTGCAATGCTTTCAGATAACTTCAAGGATAATAATAAAGGGAGTACTATGTAATATTCTGAAGAATAAAAAGGTTTATATCCCAGTCAGTTTAGTAAAGTGTAGAACTGGAGTAATAGAAGGATGTCTGTCTCCAAAACACGTTGTTATGGGTGCCAATTTATTTCAGTTCTGGTTTACAGAAGTGTGATATGACAGTATGTTATAACACAACAGCCACAGGCCAACACTGCTATCCTAATACAAAGACAACTTGTTGACTATTCACAGCCATTATTTCATTTCTGTTCGGTTTAAACCAAGCCAAGAAGCCACTTACCCAAACTAGCAGCTAAGCAGTGTTAACAGAGCAAGACAGCTGCCAGAGTTAGCTCCGGCAGCTAACCGACAAATTTGGTGAGTGGTGTATTTTTAGACCCGGAGAGGCAATTCAACTGAGTGTTGCTCCACTCATTGGAAAGTTTAAAAACAAACAAACAAACAAAAACATCACTAACACCAAATGCAGCAACGTTAGCTTACACTTGCGTTGTACATGTGAGGCATATGTAAGGCTACTAGCAAAAAAGCCGGCGTTATGGTCGCACATTTCGATGGGTAGCACTATTCGTCATAACACCGGCTCGAAAATATTTATGCAACTTCATCAGAGTCAGTGCTGCGCTTTCAAGTTGCAGAAAATGAAGCTCAACTTTGACAACGCAGTAAGTTATAATAATTACGGTAATTGTATAATGTATTACTTTACAATTAGTATTTTTTCACACATTAAGTTTAATATCCAAATCCAGCTTTAAAGGAAATATAGCCTATGTGGCACTTAAACCAGGTCGTTGTTAAAGACATAAGGGATTAAATGAAATGCAATTTGACATGCCAATGTCTTTACATTAGATCTCTGACTATTTTTTGTTTTTAGATATTTACCTTCAGAAAAAAAAAATTGCCTTACAGTTAGTTGCATTAGGAAGTTAAATGTTGTCTTACCTCTGAGTCCTGTTTCAACTAGCCTATTTCCAGTTTGAACACTGCCATGGTTATGGCTGTAGCAAATTCCTGGTTCGTCAGTGTATTATTCAAAGGACAATGAGTTCTCTGGCTTCACAAGAATAGTTTACCATTGTTACAACTAACTGCCAGTTTATAGTATTTGCTGGATATCCCTGTGCTGGCCCATACAATGCTGTGTTTTTTGTTGTGGGGTGTGAGTTTGACTATGGCTCAATGTGGACGAGTGAAACACTCTAAGACTGGAAATGTCCAATGTGTATGTGTTTTGGTGTGTTTTCTTTTATATGACACACAGCAGTTTCAAGTCAAGGTATGACGTGATGTTTATTTGTGGAAATGTCTGTAAAAAATGTGTGTTATATTGTGTTAGGACTGCATGCACTAAACCAGTCAGCTCTGAGGAAGCTGAGCGATTGGATGGATTTAATTATACTGCAATTCCTTACTTTTAGGAATACATGACATAGCTATTTTTTCTTACCAAAACATACTGAATTTTAGAAAATAAATCAAGTTTTTAAACCTTAAGACAAGCAGCTTCACCTGAGCTTGCATCAGGAATTATTAGACCACAAAAAGGCCGACTAGAATCTCCCAGAAGAAAAATCAATGCAAGCTTTTAACACTTTCCAGTCTTTGATAAATACTTCTCAAAGCAACCCTTGATTAAAAAAAAAGCCCAAATCCATATCCAAATGTACATAAATACATGTTTTTAATATATACAATAAATATACATTAATTTACAGTCAAACAAATGGCAGTGTACAATACAAAAAACAGTGCTGGAATATACAACAATATTGTCACATCATTTACATTAATCAAATTGATAGGGCGGGATAAAGTTGTACACAACTGCACACATAGGTGACATGCTGTTGTTGAGTTTGAATTTCAGCACATTTTAAAAATACTAATTTCTTCACAAATCAGAGCCCACATCACAGCTGGTAATTCCATCTCTGCACACAGATCCATTCCAATCTTACAGTGCACAGTGAGAAATATCAAAGAGCATTTTTCTTTATTTTGTTTTTCAAATCAAGCTAAGTGTTTCCTTTTGTTTCTTCAGAGCTGGTTGCGTCTGCAGGCTGTAGAAGCTGTCACTGGCAGCCACACTCATCCACAATCATGTCCTCGTGATGTCGAAGTAGCATCTCTCCGCTCTCGTAGTACAGCATACTTAATGGGCTCATTTTGGTGGGGGCGCAGCAAGGCGAAGCCACTCTATCAGGGTGGTAATGTTTCAGTAAACTCTGGTTTAAAAAAAAAGAAAAAAGAAAAGAAAAACAGAAGACATTTAAAGATTATTCCAGTCTCAAAACATCCACTTATTGTTAATAAAGATACCAAGACAGAAAAAGCAGATTCTAAGACAGATAGATAATGGGCTTCAACGTATGGATACTTCTGTTATGTATTGACTGCTCGTTGTTGCTGGATTAATAGTTTTTTCTACAAAGTATAATCTTAACATAATTCCTTAAAGTCACAAGCAATAACCCAAATAGGTTCATCAACAACATATTTCATCAAATTGGGATGAAACCATGTGCAACAGCGGTTTTTCTAGTGTGTGTGTATCAGAGGTGACACCCTATCTGCAGCAAAGTATATCTGTAGTAAATCTTAGATAATGCAGTACACTTGGGCAGTAAATAATACATGACTGGGTGTTCAATGCACAATTTGCTTTCACACAAAGATTTAGCTACATTTGATCTAAACACATCCCTGGATGTCTTTTCAGCTCACCTCCTCACCAAACCTCATTACCTCAGTGTTACGGAGGATGATACATACATGGATGATAGATAGATAAATAGATACATAGATGGATAGGTAGGTAAGAAGGTAGGTAGATGGATAGATACATAGACGGATGGATGGATAGATAGATACTCACTTGCATGTAAGCATGATTTGTTGGATTGAGCTCTTCTCCAAGGGGACCAGGGCACGACCCTTCACAGCGGTAAGCGTTGTATCTTTTAGGAAAGATGATCCAGGACCCCCAACCAATTTGATTAAAGTCTACATGCAGGTCCACTCTGCGACAGAGGGGTTTTTCACCCTCTCTTTTGGACGCCTGCAGACTTCTCCCTGTTTGTTCTCTCTGACCCCGTTTGCTCCTGCGCCTTTTTTGCCTGCGGGCCTTTTTGATTTCAGCAGGGGACAAGAACTTGGATTGTTCAGCTGTGTGGAGTAAGCTCGCTTTGACCTTCGAGTTTTCATCAGAGCCTGTGTGTGAGAAGATGACCAGCAAGGCCCGGTCGCTCACTTCCTGCTCTCTTCTCGAGCTCGCCACATAGACTGAAGGATCATGAAGCCACAGGCCCCTCTTCGTCTCCACCGCCTTCCTTCTTCTGGACACTCTCTTGTGTCGTATCCTGGCTGTTGATTTTTGCCTGAGCCAGCTCAACAGAGGTCTCGTCATGTTGAACACCTTCCAGCTCTGCGATGAAGTGACCAGTGAAGACTCGGTGAGCAGCCCCACCAGCTGCTGCTCCTGGCAGCTCTTGTGCTGATGGCACGTCTGGTGATAAACCTCCACGCTGATGTTCGCAGGACTCTGTGCCTGAGGAAGTCTGATTCTCAGCTCTGCTGCCTGGATCTGTTTGTCAGCCAGCAGAGCATGGAGGTCAAATGTTGCAGCCCAACGCTTGTGTCTATACGTCAAACCTAGTGTAGAGAAAAGAGAAGAATGATAAGTGGAGAACACATTATAGGAAAATTATTATTAAGGCCAACAAACATGATTAATATCAGAGTCATAGCACGGTGTCTCTCTGATAAGAGAAAATAAATTAAAATGTATCATTCCAGGGAAAGACAAATCCACCTGTTCTGCAAAGGAAACACAGAATCATGTTGTATTGTCACAATGAACTCAGTTACAGCTAGAATTTGAAATGTGTTTTCCACATGCTATTTCCTTCAGTGATTTAGGAATTAATCGGGACAGTATTTGGTTGTAAAAAAAGAGACATGTAGAATAGCAATGTTCTTTTTTAAAGCGATTGTGTAACTTCAGAAAAAGGCCCACCCATGGTGCTGAGATTGAGCAATATGGCTGTACATTTTGTTTTGTCTTTATCTAGTAAAAAAGTGGTAATCTGCTAAATGAATTAGGACAGTAGTAGTTGTCATTTGGAGGGGGCGTCTATGCTGTGATGAAAAATTCATTTTGAGCCCACCAACACTTGGTGGTATTTTTTTCTCAGTTTTTGTCAACACATATCAGCAAATGTTTAACATTTGTTTAGAACTGTTTTTCTTTCAGGTTTAAAACCATATAAGGATGGTTGTATCCCGAGTGAGTGCTATTTTGAGGATAATTATGATGGAAATTGATGCCGTTTTCTATCCAACCTCTCTTTTGTGATGCAAAAAAAACAATTGCAGAGAATTATAACTTCCTTTGATAACTCCTCTGACTTCATGATCAATGCTTGTATTAATGCATTTTGGGCTTCTTTAAAACAATCCATTGTTCTACAGTAGGTAAGCCTGTGCTGCACCCACATCTGCAAAGAGCTCCATTGTGATTTAAAGAACAGGTGTGGCTCAAATTAATCTGAAGGATTAAAGCATGTTAAACATTTCAATTCTGTATTGTCTAGTGCATTGGCCCATTTAGCTTAGACCGTTGATCAAAAGTGCAAACCGTGCTCGCTATTAATCCACTCAAACCAAACAGCACGGTCGAAACCAATCATTTAACACATGCCTGCTTGTCCTCCTGGCTTCTGCATATCCTCAGTCAAACAAATAGGTAATAACTCTGACACCTAGCAGCGATGTGGAATTAAATTCAACAGCAGGGAGGGCTGTCCTCTCGTTGGCTGCTTGTGCCATTAAATCCCGAGCTCTAATCTAATCAAGCCAAGTGTGAAAAAGAACTAAGGGAAGTTGTTGATTTGCCTTAACAAGAGATTTGTATAGGGGGATGTCTGGCGAGGTATCTAATCAACATCACCTATTTAAGCGAGAGGAGGTTTGCTTTGAGAATTAGACAGAAAAGCGGCCTTTTCACACGCTGATCCCAGCATGGTTATTCAGATACTCGACTGGGATGTGGATTCAGACCCTCTGAGGTCGTCTGGCACGCAGCTTTGACAGGACAACACCTCACACTCACCACCAACAACAAAAAAAAAACAACTAACATTTCAAGATGCTTTTTAAATAATCTGATTTAACAACACCTCCATAAAAATGACTATTTCTTCTCGTGTTCTCTACTTTAATCCACCATATTCCCCCCCCACCACCTCGCTCATGTAGACTATGTCTCACTTAATGCCTCACTTTTTGAAGAAGAAATAAACAAATTCTTACTTCTAGCCATTACACTCTTCACTGTGTCTGCTTGCTTTGAGGCGACTTGCTCCATAGTATCCAAAGGCCTGGAAAAGTTGGACTTGAAGTTCCTGTACAGATGCATCATGTAGGTGGGCAGGTGGTGCCCGGTTGCTCGATCCATGAGAGAAAACCGCTCCAGCGACCTCATGTTTGAAACTCCATCTTTGGTTTTTTGGACCCCATGAGCCACCAGCACGAGCAGAGATGCGTTCAGCGCGAGAGCCAGAGGTCCCAATGAGCGCATGTTTCGGACCGGTTAATGACAAATTCCTCTACTGGGAGATTAGGGGTGTCTTATATACCTTCACCCACCCCCTTTCATGTTTAACAAGTAGCTGAGAACATTAAAGGAAATTGACATGCGTCCTCAAGACTTGTTACCTGACAGCTCATCAACCATTCCCTTGGTAATGAGGCGCCTGGGTGCTTGTTTACAAGGAGAAAACTCCCTTTGTTTGCACCATGTTCTGCAGCCCCATGCCCCATCCTTGGATACATTGTTCCACTTATTTAACTAACACTAATTGTTAGGCTTTCCCAAAGTGTTTAAGGCAGTCTGAATGTAGTCTGAATTGGAAGGAATTGACGACGAATGTATGTATGAAATACCACAAAAAAAAAACATTAACACAAAACACATTGTTGGGACAGGTTTCGAAAACAATTTGTAACCATCGTTATCATATCAGTAGGCTGTTTTAAAGTAAAACGTAGAAGCCTACGTTATGACATCATGCGCAATTATTCTCTTTCTTTAGGCTACATCAGGCTATTTTATATAGACTAACTTTAAACTAATGTGTAGTAGGCCTACCAAGATAAAGGATGAACATCTCGTTAAATAAAAGAAGTCACTGCTCAATATAAGTCAGACCTAAATATCATTATAAGCAATGTTAGAATTAAAGCATTATATCGCTGTTTAACTTCACAATGTTCACATGTAGGCTAACATTATACACAGTTTATAGAAAGGTATGGCAGTAGCCTAAACATAGATCAATATTGAGTTTTTAATCACCTTTTTATGCTTTATATGATGGGGGAAATTCTAAATGTCCCTTACACATTTGAAATGGACATTGGTATTTATTTGTATTTTCAAGGGTATGATACTCTAAATTGAAAAAAAATATATATATATATTTGAAGCTTTTCACAACTTTTGTCTAATGTTCTTACACACAAAAAAGGAGCAATGCCAAAATATTTTCTGTTTCATGTAGGCATATATTACAGTTATTTATAGTACATGTTTTATAATATATTTGATATCTTTATTATGGGTTTCATACTTTAAATTCAAGTTTATTGACTGTTTTTTTTTTCAACAACAAAAAAATTAGTGACTCAAAATTGAGTAAGATTTGGACTTTTTTTTTTTTTCTTTCTGTGAGACCATCCGAGAGCATCCGAGGATGACCGTAAGCTGCGCATGCGCTGTCCGCCTTGCTCCACATAGCGAAAATCTTTCCCCGTAAATGTCCTGAGAAAGGAACGAAGAAAAAAAAAAAAAAAATCAATGGATGCTTTTTTTCTCGCGGTGTAAACAGAAGGCGGTGCACCTCGGCGACATCATCCGAACTGGAAAAACCTACCGCTGAAAACATGACTGTTACTGGGCCGGAAGCCTTCCCACCTACCGTGTGCTGAAATGGTGAGTTTAGCTTTAAAGTTTTTAAGGGTCTTGTTGCGCGAGCCAGGGGTGCCTAAAAGTTTCACGTTCACACCTGTTCGGATGCTAAGACTCTGTACGGCTTGAAATACGCCATTGTTGATTTGCATTTTTGACGTTTTTACAGCAGAACTCTTTGACCAGGAGAGGATATGTTCATGGATGTGAAGTGTTTGTGTGGTTGGTGATGGGGGGGCATACATGTGCTTGGCACCCCCCCCCCACTCTCCATGCCTGCACTGAATCGAGCCAGTGGTTTGGGCCAAAAAAGCTTCAGGCAGAAATAAACGATAGCATGCTAGGTGACACAGGAAAAGCTCCATAGAAACAAAGACACTTGCAGAAAAACGTGAAGTTATCGATGTGTTGTCTTTAATAAGACTCAGCGGGTTTCTCTTTTTACTGTTATGAAAAGTGTGCGTGAACACAACATTTGCACACATGCGCAAATAACGGATGTACCCCTAATAAATATTAGAGTGAAGATAAAACTTCAAAAGAGACATTGAAAACTTCAATTAGCAAATTCCCATGCACTAACAAGACTTTAGAGATAACCAAGAAGGTTTACCAAAACTCCACTGAGAAATAGTAAAAAAAAACTTTGCAACAGTTAATAAACTTGAATTTAAAGTATGAAACCCATAATAAAGATATCAAATATATTATAAAACATGTACTATAAATAACTGAACTATATGCCTATATGAGACAGAAAATATTTTGGCATCTATTGCTCCTTTTTTTGTGTGTGAGAGAACATTAAAATATGTTGACGAAAAGTTGTGAAAAGCTTCAAATATTCTTTTTACACACTGTTTTAAAAAACAGCTCCAGTCTCGCAATGTTACAGCCGACATGCAGATACGTTTTTGGTCCTCAGTTATATGACTATAAAGTAGTTTTTTTCCTTTTTAGAAATCAGGGAGTATTGTGAATCAAAGCCATATGCGCAAACTGATTCTTTTATCTATTTTTTTATAAAACCAGGATTCCTGACATTTTGTTACATAAAGTAGAAGAAGTCTATAGAGGACAGTAAGACAAAGCACATGATCCCCTTTGATGTACTGCAGCCCCGGCCCTTTTGTTTGATTCAGCCGTGTGCAGCTGGGATCAGTCTCCTCTCTTCATATCACTTTACCTCACATCCTGGGGGAAGACAGAAACCGGCAGATCAAACTGGAACGTCACAATTAATCAAGAGTGAGAGCGTGAAACTCCTCCATGAATGGACACCATGGATCATAACTGATTGAGCTTTTTGGTCACGCTTTATTCAGGACGAAGTTAATCTTCCCAGGGTTTGCTTGAGAAGTTGCATGTTTATGCGTCACAACCTTTGCTTTATTAGGGATAGATCTTTGAAACCATTATGTCAAAACAGGCAGCTATTTTGGCCAGATAAACCCCCTCATATAAAGAAAAAGAGCTAATAATTTCAAGTCTTTTATGGTTGAACCAAGCCTTAAAGTGTCCGCTGAGTAGTGACGAGCTCCTTTAGAAACAGATGTATGAAATAGTTGATTTGCAATAACGAGTACTCTCTCTCACTGGCTTCATTTATTACTGCAATAGAATACTCTTACCACAAGGTGTCATATTTCATCATTGAGCTGATCTTTTTTTTTTTTTTTTTTATCACTTTATTGCAATGGTCAAACACAGTCATGATTCCACACAGTTATCTTTTCAGAATGCGTTGCCATTTACGTACATCTTAGCTGAAATTTAAAAAAATGAAGAACAAAGCAAAAAAAAAAGACATAAAAGACAACAGAAGCACAAATGAATGGACTGAATTGAATGTTAAAGACAACCTAAATATATCTGATCTCTCATTGCGGTTTTTTTTTGTGGTTTTTTTTAATCATAGGAAAATTGAGGATTTCTCTCGTAATGCTTCAGGAAAATATCAAAAAGTGTTCCACACATTCTGTATCTAAAGAACAGAAATGTAAACACGCTCAAACTGTTCTAAGGAGTTGTACTCGTGCTGAAGGGAGACACTGCATTTCCTTAACTATCTCTTCTTTCCTGTTGCTCTTAAAAGCTTTTAACAAATTGGCTTTTTTTTTTTTTGCTGGGGCGGTAATAAGACAGACACCAGACCTGAGGAAGGATTTGGACAGGTGATATTAGCAGCATGCTCCTTTTTTTTTTTTTTTTTCCATTCTGGTCGTTTAGCAGAGGAAGTTTCCTCTCGTGTCACAAGAACATCCTCCTTATACTTCAAATCGTGTTCTGCTTTATCGCCTTCAAATAAAGCTATGGAAGGAAATGAGATCTCCCAGTTAAGTGACTTTGACGACTCCTTGCCCCCCGCCTCCCCTCTTAAAGAAAATGAAATCAAGTGTCAAGATTGATCGCTCGTAATGATTCATTCATGCTCTTGAGGTTTTTTTTTTTTTTTTCACAGCCGTTGTTTTGCAACAACATCAGAGTCTTGGGGCCTGCATGCCGGAAGGAAGGAACAGGTGTGGCAGCTGTAGATTTGACATCCATATCTTGAAAAGAACTCGTTACTTTTGCAAATAAGCTTATTTTGGACTTCAATCTTGTGACGGACTGTTGAATACACGTACTTTAGTGAGAAGTAGTCCCACAAACAGCCACTCATAAGATAGCCTTGATGTTGCCTTTTTGCCTTTAAGCGATGTCATTTTTGCAGAAACCGTGATTTCGTTTTATTTTATTTTTTCAATGTAAGCTTTTGTCTGTACAGCTATCATATCAATGGCCTTTGTTGTGTTGCTTTATAGCGCCCACAGGCTGTAACAGGACACTCAGTGCATGATGAGGTCCTGTGACATCAGGGTTAAAAGAGCACACATCCCTCTGCAGCTCAACCTGGAGCTTAAAATGGAAGTATTTGCCCAGCTGTAAGCCTGTGTTTGCCTTCCACATTGCACGTGTTAACTGCTAATGAATGGAGTAATTAGAGCATCGTAGTGAATTAGGCTTACGCGACGTCCTCTGTTCTCACTGATTGTCCGCCTCCCGTCCCGGCGGGTCTACGGATCAATGCGAGGTGAGCAGCTGCAGCCGAGTGTAAGAAGTTGAATAAGTGCAGGTTTTTAATTTTCTGTGTTTCGAGTGTTGTTTAAAGGTCTTCCATGTGTGGGAGGCACTGTGCTGCCAGGAGGCTCCGGTAGTGATTGAACTGATGAGTAAGCCTCTCTCTCGGCCCGCCTCCACATCCTCTTTACACATACACACACACACACACACACACAAATCCTGGCATGAGTGAGCAGTATTGCACCTCATGCACAGGGGATGCACGCAGAAAAGTAACAACAGACAGGGAGCTTTGCACCCCCCACCCCCCCCACCACCTACCTTCCTCCTCCTGAGTTGCTGTCTGGGATCCGTCCTCACTGAAGGACACCCTCATTGACTCGCTTTACGAGGACGCCTTAATGAAGCGAGACCGCCGCCTGCTGTAGTGTGACCGCGGAGAGAGATTGGCTCACAGATCAGAGGGAGAGAAACCAGCGAGGGGATGTATGACTGAGAGCGGTGTTACAGGCTACAGGAGGGCTGTCATTTTTCTTTGTTGATCTTTT